TGATCGAAATAGAAGTAACAGTTAGCTGTCCGGTGTAGTGATACTGATCGAAATAGAAGTAACAGTTAGCTGTCCGGTGTAGTGATACTGATCGAAATAGAAGTAACAGTTAGCTGTCCGGTGTAGTGATACTGATCGAAATAGAAATAACAGTTAGCTGTCCGGTGTAGTGATACTGATCGAAATAGAAGTAACAGTTAGCTGTCCGGTGTAGTGATACTGATCGAAATAGAAGTAACAGTTAGCTGTCCGGTGTAGTGATACTGATCGAAATAGAAATAACAGTTAGCTGTCCGGTGTAGTGATACTGATCGAAATAGAAGTAACAGTTAGCTGTCCGGTGTAGTGATACTGATCGAAATAGAAATAACAGTTAGCTGTCCGGTGTAGTGATACTGATCGAAATAGAAGTAACAGTTAGCTGTCCGGTGTAGTGATACTGATCGAAATAGAAATAACAGTTAGCTGTCCGGTGTAGTGATACTGATCGAAATAGAAGTAACAGTTAGCTGTCCGGTGTAGTGATACTGATCGAAATAGAAATAACAGTTAGCTGTCCGGTGTAGTGATACTGATCGAAATAGAAATAACAGTTAGCTGTCCGGTGTAGTGATACTGATCGAAATAGAAATAACAGTTAGCTGTCCGGTGTAGTGATACTGATCGAAATAGAAATAACAGTTAGCTGTCCGGTGTAGTGATACTGATCGAAATAGAAATAACAGTTAGCTGTCCGGTGTAGTGATACTGATCGAAATAGAAGTAACAGTTAGCTGTCCGGTGTAGTGATACTGATCGAAATAGAAATAACAGTTAGCTGTCCGGTGTAGTGATACTGATCGAAATAGAAGTAACAGTTAGCTGTCCGGTGTAGTGATACTGATCGAAATAGAAATAACAGTTAGCTGTCCGGTGTAGTGATACTGATCGAAATAGAAGTAACAGTTAGCTGTCCGGTGTAGTGATACTGATCGAAATAGAAATAACAGTTAGCTGTCCGGTGTAGTGATACTGATCGAAATAGAAGTAACAGTTAGCTGTCCGGTGTAGTGATACTGATCGAAATAGAAATAACAGTTAGCTGTCCGGTGTAGTGATACTGATCGAAATAGAAGTAACAGTTAGCTGTCCGGTGTAGTGATACTGATCGAAATAGAAATAACAGTTAGCTGTCCGGTGTAGTGATACTGATCGAAATAGAAGTAACAGTTAGCTGTCCGGTGTAGTGATACTGATCGAAATAGAAATAACAGTTAGCTGTCCGGTGTAGTGATACTGATCGAAATAGAAGTAACAGTTAGCTGTCCGGTGTAGTGATACTGATCGAAATAGAAATAACAGTTAGCTGTCCGGTGTAGTGATACTGATCGAAATAGAAATAACAGTTAGCTGTCCGGTGTAGTGATACTGATCGAAATAGAAATAACAGTTAGCTGTCCGGTGTAGTGATACTGATCGAAATAGAAATAACAGTTAGCTGTCCGGTGTAGTGATACTGATCGAAATAGAAATAACAGTTAGCTGTCCGGTGTAGTGATACTGATCGAAATAGAAATAACAGTTAGCTGTCCGGTGTAGTGATACTGATCGAAATAGAAATAACAGTTAGCTGTCCGGTGTAGTGATACTGATCGAAATAGAAATAACAGTTAGCTGTCCGGTGTAGTGATACTGATCGAAATAGAAATAACAGTTAGCTGTCCGGTGTAGTGATACTGATCGAAATAGAAATAACAGTTAGCTGTCCGGTGTAGTGATACTGATCGAAATAGAAATAACAGTTAGCTGTCCGGTGTAGTGATACTGATCGAAATAGAAGTAACAGTTAGCTGTCCGGTGTAGTGATACTGATCGAAATAGAAATAACAGTTAGCTGTCCGGTGTAGTGATACTGATCGAAATAGAAGTAACAGTTAGCTGTCCGGTGTAGTGATACTGATCGAAATAGAAATAACAGTTAGCTGTCCGGTGTAGTGATACTGATCGAAATAGAAATAACAGTTAGCTGTCCGGTGTAGTGATACTGATCGAAATAGAAATAACAGTTAGCTGTCCGGTGTAGTGATACTGATCGAAATAGAAATAACAGTTAGCTGTCCGGTGTAGTGATACTGATCGAAATAGAAATAACAGTTAGCTGTCCGGTGTAGTGATACTGATCGAAATAGAAATAACAGTTAGCTGTCCGGTGTAGTGATACTGATCGAAATAGAAATAACAGTTAGCTGTCCGGTGTAGTGATACTGATCGAAATAGAAATAACAGTTAGCTGTCCGGTGTAGTGATACTGATCGAAATAGAAATAACAGTTAGCTGTCCGGTGTAGTGATACTGATCGAAATAGAAATAACAGTTAGCTGTCCGGTGTAGTGATACTGATCGAAATAGAAATAACAGTTAGCTGTCCGGTGTAGTGATACTGATCGAAATAGAAATAACAGTTAGCTGTCCGGTGTAGTGATACTGATCGAAATAGAAATAACAGTTAGCTGCCCGGTGTAGTGATACTGATCGAAATAGAAATAACAGTTAGCTGCCCGGTGTAGTGATACTGATCGAAATAGAAATAACAGTTAGCTGCCCGGTGTAGTGATACTGATCGAAATAGAAATAACAGTTAGCTGCCCGGTGTAGTGATACTGATCGAAATAGAAATAACAGTTAGCTGCCCGGTGTAGTGATACTGATCGAAATAGAAATAACAGTTAGCTGCCCGGTGTAGTGATACTGATCGAAATAGAAATAACAGTTAGCTGCCCGGTGTAGTGATACTGATCGAAATAGAAATAACAGTTAGCTGCCCGGTGTAGTGATACTGATCGAAATAGAAATAACAGTTAGCTGCCCGGTGTAGTGATACTGATCGAAATAGAAATAACAGTTAGCTGCCCGGTGTAGTGATACTGATCGAAATAGAAATAACAGTTAGCTGCCCGGTGTAGTGATACTGATCGAAATAGAAATAACAGTTAGCTGCCCGGTGTAGTGATACTGATCGAAATAGAAATAACAGTTAGCTGCCCGGTGTAGTGATACTGATCGAAATAGAAATAACAGTTAGCTGCCCGGTGTAGTGATACTGATCGAAATAGAAATAACAGTTAGCTGCCCGGTGTAGTGATACTGATCGAAATAGAAATAACAGTTAGCTGCCCGGTGTAGTGATACTGATCGAAATAGAAATAACAGTTAGCTGCCCGGTGTAGTGATACTGATCGAAATAGAAATAACAGTTAGCTGCCCGGTGTAGTGATACTGATCGAAATAGAAATAACAGTTAGCTGCCCGGTGTAGTGATACTGATCGAAATAGAAATAACAGTTAGCTGCCCGGTGTAGTGATACTGATCGAAATAGAAATAACAGTTAGCTGCCCGGTGTAGTGATACTGATCGAAATAGAAATAACAGTTAGCTGCCCGGTGTAGTGATACTGATCGAAATAGAAATAACAGTTAGCTGCCCGGTGTAGTGATACTGATCGAAATAGAAGTAACAGTTAGCTGCCCGGTGTAGTGATACTGATCGAAATAGAAATAACAGTTAGCTGCCCGGTGTAGTGATACTGATCGAAATATAAATAACAGTTAGCTGTCCGGTGTAGTGATACTGTTACGTAGAGATCGGCGAAAGTGGTTTATGTGGAAGAGTCTGTATTGTTCTTGATAAAGTCAACCTGATATGACAAAGTGGATAGCTTTAATGCCATCTTGGGCAACCATTAAGGTACTGAGTCTCCTAATAATTGGAGCCTACATGCATGACTAGTAATCAACTATAGGAGACATTTTTATCGGAATTATCATTGTCTTTAGCCATGCATGCAAGCTGTTGGTTGTAGATTGTCTCCAGAGACAAGCCTGTACACCAGCTGACAAGTTAATATAGTGTTAACTTTCCTTTCCTCAGAAGTAACATGCTAACCTCTTCTCTTTATACAGTTAATTTCTCCCCTCGTTAGGTAGATCAGATATGCAAGACATTATTATTCAATTAGTGTTTTTGTGGTACCCTTGTTATCTATTTCTTTGTAGCATCGATACATCATTGAGGTATGACGAAATCGGTAATAGTTAGATGAAAAGTGGCATGGTGATGTCAAAATGATATTGTAAATCATTATTACATTTCTTGACGTATTGTGAGATGGTGGTTCAGAATAAGTGTTTATATAATAGTATTGAATTGATCAACAATGAATACATTGCAAATTTATTGCACACGTTTACTCGAATTAATAGGCTTTAAAACACCCCTCTCCCCCCCAAAAAAATCGAAGTCAGTATTTTCTGTGTAGATAATATCGTTTAATGAATTATCCCATGTAAAATGAAAACGATCAAGTGATATTGCTATCTTTAACAATATGAAATCAATACCCTTCCGCATTTTATAATGTACGGAACATAAAGCCGTTAGCTACATGGAGTGCGTCAAAGCTTCGTCTGTGTTCATAAAATATTAATAGTAGTGAGAATGAATGCTTCTTAGCAGCCATAAATGACTCAAAAGTCACGCTAGAGAGTGTATTATTAGTCACGCTAGAGAGTGTGTTATAAGTCACGCATGTTATCAATGCTGCTTATTAGACACACAAAAACAATCCATATATTTCTTATGACACGCAAATATTCGCATTGTTTCGTGTACATTTTTATTTTTAGATTGACTTTTTATTCTAAAAACCACTCTAAATTCCATTTGCTCCGTCTTATTTATTCAGTAAACCTCAATGTTAATTGGACACTTAATTAAATTAAATGGGCGCCGTATAATATGTAAATATCACGATACAACTGACTGTGAATGGTCCCTTCAGGATTACAGTATTACAGTATTACAGTATTACAGTATTACGATCGTCTTCACAGCAGGAGGTTGAATTATTATTACTGTTTATTGTCCTGGGCCATATCAGGACTACAAGTATTGAATAATAAAGATACCTCAGCCATCTGAAAGGTAAATTAGACCGATACAGGCGCCTCACCAGATATAAGAGATGCATGGCCTATACAGGAGGATACTGCCAGTCTCTATAGCGATATGTGTGGTTGTTTACGTCACGTATCAAAGACAAACAAGTAAGTACTTTATATTTAATTAAATTTTATGTGTATTAATGCACTTTATTACATACTTACTAATAAATACGTGTTTTTTTTGTATATGCGATACGACACAATTGCTCTTACCCATATCAGCCTTCGCCGTATCACACCCCAAAAGCCGTATCAGCCCGCAAAACCCGTATCACACCCCTTTTAAAAAATATTCGTTTTCAATATTTCAAAAGAAAAATAGATCATAAGGTAGTAGCTTTTATAAGTAAGTATGTAATAAACAGAATAAAACATGCCTTTTTCCATATCACACCCAGTATCAACCCTCCACCAATATCAGCCCTTGGGCTGATATTGCAGTCTCGGGTTGATGCTGGGTGTGATATGGAAAAAGGCATGTATTATTCTCTATATATCAAGACTATCCCACTGGTACATGTACCTTATACCACTAGATTTGTTTGCGTCATTGGCATATACTTCCAAATTGTATAATGTAATATTTTCAGTAGTATAAGGGCAAGAAGTCTTTGATATCTTTATAGTTTTAAAACTATTCTAACACTAAATTGATCGAATTCATTTGTTTTCATTTTTTTCTCGGTATTCTAGACCTAAACATCTATGCCGTTACCTATGTAATTGATTAATAGATATTCGAGTTTATTGAAAATATTATTGAAATGAATGACAACCCTAGCATTACCTTATTAATATAGAAAATATAGATTTTTCTCATAAACTCTAGAAATTGAAGTGTGGAGGCATACATATCTAAATATTGTAAGTCAAAGCACAAAGTCAAACAAAATAAAAATGTACTTCACTATATTTTGGCCTATTGCTCAATGTAGTTTTTATTTATTTCCTATTCATCTTAGAAGACAGGTGTTAGAGATGTATTAACAGATGCTATATTCTAAACCTCTTATCATTATATGGACGACGGGACATCACTGAACTATTCATATGATATATGCAATGTATGATTTATATTTGATATACGCAATGTATGATTTATATTTGATATATGTAATGTATGATTTATATTTGATATATGCAATGTATGATTTATATTTGATATATGCAATATGTAATTTATATTTATTCTTCCATTCACATCGATAGACCCACACGTGTCTAATGTTTCATAATTATTTCATGTGTTTCTTCATTATTGTAATTCCTTTAATAGAAACTTTAGTAGGATTTGTTGAAACGCATTGTATGTTATGAATAGGATAATTTCAAAGCAGGAAATCGCATGTATATCCATCAAAAACACTGTTTGTTATGTAGTATGTTAACTTGATCACATCGTGACGTCACCAGAACCGCTAAGATGACTTCACAAAGCCACGACGATGGAAAAACTTGTGTTTTCATTTTACATTTTAAATAGTCATTAAATGTGCAGTTAAACAAGTTCTGGTTGAGAAGCTACATGTAGTCTTAAATAAAACCACAATGTCATTCGCATAATATCTGATTTCTATGAAAGTTTCTAAAGTTATAAACTCTTTATGCTGGGAATGAAGTTGGGATCCACTAGATACTGGTAATAATACATCTATTAACAGTGCTGTAGGGGTGGACAATTCATTAACAGTGCTGTAGGGGTAGACAATCTATTAACAGTGCTGTAGTGGTGGAAAATCAATTAACACTGCTGTAGGGGTAGGGCAATCCATTAACAATGCTGAAGGGATGGAAAATCAATTAACAGTGCTGTAGTGGTGGACAATCCATTAAAAGTGCTGTAGGGGTGGATAATCAACTTACAATGCTGTAGGGGTGGATAATCCATTAACACTGCTGTAGGGGTGGACAATCCATTAAGAGTGATATAGGGGTGGAGAATCCATTAACAGTGCTGGTGGGGTGGACAATCCATTAACAGTGCTGTAGGGATGCACATTCCATTATCAGTGTTGTAGGGATGGACAATCCATTAACAGTGATGTAGGGATGGACAATCCATTAACAGTGATGTAGGGATGGACAATGATTAACAATGCTGTAGCGATGGACAATTCATTTACAGTACTGTAGGAGTGGAAAATCCATTAACAGTGCTGTAGGGGTGGACAATCCATTAACAATGCTGTAGGGGTGGACAATCCATTAACAGTGCTACAGGAGTAGATAATCCATGTACAGTGCTGCAGGGATGGACAATCCATTATCAGTGCTGTAGGGATGGACAATCTATTAACAGTGCTGTGGGGTAGAATCCATTAACAGTGTTGTAGGGATGGACAATCCAATAACAATGCTGTGGGGTAGAATATCCATTAACATTGATATAGGGGTGGACAATCCATTAACAGTGCTGTAGGAGTGGCCAATCCATTAACAGTGCTGTAGGAGTAGATAATCCTTACCGGTGTTGTAAGGATGGACAATCCAATAACAATGCTGTGGGGTAGAATATCCATTAACAGTGATATAGGGGTGGACAATCCATTAACAGTGCTACAGGAGTGGACACTCCATTAACAGTGCTGTACGGGTGGACAATCCATTAACAGTGCTGTAGGGGTGGACTCTCCATTAGCACTGTTGTAGGGGTGGACAATCCATTAACAGTGCTACAGGAGTCGACAATCCATTAACAGTGCTGTACGGGTGGACAATCCATTAACAGTGCTGTAGGGGTGGACTCTCCATTAACACTGTTGTAGGGGTGGACAATCCATTAACAGTGATATAGGGGTGGACAATCCATTAACAGTGCTGTAGGAGTGGCCAATCCATTAAAAGTGCTGTAGGGATGCACATTCCATTAACAGTGCTGTAGGGGTGGACAATCCATTAACAGAACTGTAGGGTTTGCCAATCCAATAACAATGTTGTGGGGTAGGACAATCCATTAACAGAGCTGTAGGGTTGGACAATCCATTAACAGAGCAGTAGGGTAGGACAATCCATTAAAAGTACTGTAGGGGTAGAATATCCATTAACAGTGCTACAGGAGTGGACAATCCATTAACAGTGCTGTAGGGGTGGACAATCCATTAACAGTGATGTAGGGTTTGCCAATCCAATAACAATGTTGTGGGGTAGGACAATCCATTAACAGAGCTGTAGGGTTGGACAATCCATTAACAGAGCTGTAGGGTAGGACAATCCATTAAAAGTACTGTAGGGGTAGAATATCCATTAACAGTGCTACAGGAGTGGACAATCCATTAACAGTGCTGTAGGGGTGGACAATCCATTAACAGTGATGTAGGGTTTGCCAATCCAATAACAATGTTGTGGGGTAGGACAATCCATTAACAGAGCTGTAGGGTTGGACAATCCATTAACAGAGCTGTAGGGTAGGACAATCCATTAAAAGTACTGTAGGGGTAGAATATCCATTAACAGTGCTACAGGAGTGGACAATCCATTAACAGTACTGTAGGGGTGGGCACTCCATTAATTGTGCTGTAGTGGTGGACTATCCATTAATAGGGCTACAGGAGTGGACAATCCATTAACAGTGCTGTAGGGGTGGACAATCCATTAACAGTAATGTAGGGTTTGACAATCCAATAACAATGCTTTGGGGTAGGACAATCCATTAAAAGTACTGTAGGGGTAGAACAACCATTAACAGTGCTACAGGAGTGGACAATCCATTAACAGTGCTACAGGAGTGGACACTCCATTAACAGAGCTGTAGGGGTAGAACAACCATTAACAGTGCTACAGGAGTGGACACTCCATTAACAGTGTTGTAGGGATGGACAATCCATTAACAGTGTTATAGGGGTGGACAATCCATTAACAGAGCTGTAGGGTTGGACAATTTATAAACCCTGTTTTGGGGATGAACAATCACAAACAATGTGTTTCCAACGCACCACGGAACTGAGTAGGTATGTGATCAATTACTTGAAATTTCTGATATCATGTTAGGTATTTGGGAGAAAATATTTGTATTTCAAAATACGAATTTGAAAGGAAATTATAACCACAGTAAAAACGATATATTGATATAAATCAGATAACATCTGGATTGTTTGTGGCTGCAGCGTTCTTTTGTTATCAACAGTTACTATAAATATAAAGTTCACAAATATATTTTTGATATGAGTATTTGGATCTTTGTACCTGATACGCCTATGCCTTATGAAAGGATATAGACCACAGGAAATGTATCATTAGACCCATAAAGTATATTCCTGCTTTACTTTCAGAACAGTTTTTAATAACAGGAGATATGTCCGTTCGATTCTGGATGGATATGAAGATATATATAAATTGTATATGAGATATTTGTCATAATATTTAAAGATAACATATTAATTTTACATAAAAGACATTTAAGAAATGAATGGATTTCAATTGAAAATTTCTCCATAATGATATTAATATAAGCTTTGTACTACTGTATTGCTTGCAGATATAGAAGAATTTCAGAAGAAGACCATCCAGATCTCGTCTTCCTTAAAGTCACCAAATCCTTATCGGACGTACGGACAAGTCACTACGCAGACACCCGATCTCTCTCGGACGTACGGACAAGTCATCGAACAGTCATCCAATCCTTCTCGGACGTACGAACAAGTCACCATACAGACACCCGATCCCTCTCGGACATACGGACAAGTCACCAAGCAGACACCCGATCCCTCTCGGATATACGGACAAGTCGCCGTGCAGTCACATGATTTTTCTTGGACGTACGAAAACAGGTACACTTCTCTGTACGAGAAATGTGCTGAATTACCGAAGGCAAAAACGCACATCAGAGCTCCATTATATTTTTATTCTAAATCCAATAATGTTGCATTTTGCAAAGCACCGAAAACAGGCAGCACATTTATTGGGACTGTGGTCAAGGCACTGGAAAAGAATGGAGACCTGGTACGAAACATGTTTCATGTCAACCGAGAAAGTGTACATGGTCGAAATGAAGCAACTCTCGATACGATTGTCAAACAAAACTCACAGGATTTAAAAATAATTCTTGTGACACGGGATCCATTTACGAGACTTTTTTCAGCGTATTTAGACAAGTATTTTGTTTTAGGTATCTGGGGAAAACAAATGGCTCAGAATCTGGGTAAAGATCATAGAAAAATTAGAGATGGTTTCTGTGGATTTGACATATCGTTCCAAGAGTTTTTAGACTATGTAACGGATGTTAGCCTCGGCAACAAGAATACAGATGAACACACTTTGCCTGTGTCGAGCCTGTGTAATCCATGCTTCGTACGATATGACGTCATTTGTAAACAGGAGACCCTAACCTCTGATACAGAACACGTCCTCAAACTTATCAATATCACCGAGCAGAAGCGACTCGCCATTGTGAACATGATTCGTGGTAAAACCATGACAGATACTATTTTTTCTTGGATTTCGTCTCATTTGTGGTACTATATCGTTTATAAAAAAGATTGCTCATCCAAAATACTTCTCGTGGAAAGACTTTGGCAGGTGTTACAGCTTCAGGGATATATAAACGCCTCTCTGACCTTCCCGGCACGTTTGTTTAAGGTGAGGAAGGTTTGAAGGACAACATTACATTTCAACAAACACTCGATCGTTTAGTTTATTATTATAAATTAAATTACACATAAACGTTAATTAATTTCGTCAACACTACTTTCTATTTCACACACCATTCAAAATAACTCACTTGACACATTCTGTCACTTGGGGATAAAATGCCTATTTCCATTAAACCAGACGACTGAATATCTTACCGTCCTATGCATCACATTTGGTTAAGTACAGTGGCACGCTTCATTGCATGTGTAATGTATTATGGGAACTAAATACTCGAAATATTTCTGTTGTTTTCTCTTTCCTCAGAATTTGCCGGTGTTCAGGGCGGAGAGCGTGACAACGCTCATACTGAAACAGATACGCTCCAGCCCACTAACAGAATCCCAGACGTTTATACAAAGGACACGTATACTGCAGCAAGCTTATGGGCAAATAAAGCCAGCTACGGTAGCCAGAGTACAAACCATGTTTGCTCAAGACTTCAAACTCTTCGATTACGATCGGTCTCCGCCACATATTTAGTGCTGGTCTAACCGAGCACAATACGACCTGTTGCCTTATAAGATTGGTCTTGTTTTTATTCGAATGTTACTTAATTAAAACATAACAACGGAACACAGCCCAGCATTTTAAAGCACAACCTGTTTTAGGAACTCGTTATCATTTGTTAGTTACTAACCTTTGCGCCTGTGCCAAAGTATGTGATAATCTTTAAGCTTGAAACGTCTCCCAATGTAGGAACATGATTTGGTATTCAAATGCATTGACATGTAAGACTTAAGACGAACCTTCCCCGTAGGCTGTCTCTGAATCAATGGCACTTGAGGCCTTCTAGGCAGGAACTTAATAGGAACGGTTAACCTGTCGTTAATTTGACCAATGTGAGTGAGGTATGTCTTGTATCTTCTGAACAGCTTCAAAAAAGTGTCAAACTATAGACGTGGACGTTACCAAGACATAAGTGACTCTATTCGTGATTGCAGGACTGAGTAATCCGGCTATTTTATTCAACAATGCTTTAAGATATGGCTCGATTTTTACGGATCGTTTACCTACCTTGTGAAAAACTATCTGTTCATATAATGGTATTGATAGTTGTCTCCAGCTCTGACGGAATGACATCGTCGCTCAGCATCAGGTCATTCTTTCCTCAGAGACGTTTATTCCTCTCGACTGAATGTTTGGTTGTTTTTTCAACAAATAAAATAAAGTTTGTATTACAAGGGTGATATCCCACTGGTTTGTTCATAACTTCAAACTAGATAGAAGCAAATAACAAGTTAGGTATACAAAAAAAATTGTACCTTCCTAACAATAAGAGTACGTGATGTGAAAACTGCCTTGACCACAATCCCGATACCTGATGGTATTAATAGTATAGCATTAGAAATGATCAGTGGTACAGTAGTTCATGAAGCACACATGGAGATTTTTTGGATGTGACTGCATTTCGTAATATGAATTTCTAATAAGGCTCCAGTAATTTGCATGGTTCCATGGTATGTGTCCGCCTTTTATTTTGGATTCTGACGCGGATTATCAACTGTATCCGCAGACTTATAGGGTGGGTTAGCCAACGGGGTGCTTCGAGACATTAACAACAAGTTCACTAATTTTAATAATATTGACAAAGTGGAGCATATCTGATGCTTGGGTACCTGTTCTTAGGTTTGCTAGGACTCTACGGAGGTGCCTCAGATACTTGTGTAGACTGTTCACTTGTAAGTGTGTCAAACTCAGTGGCTACCATTTTTCAGTAAGATTTATGATGTCAACAAAGTTTTACAAAAAATACAAATGATATAGTAAACAGATATGTAATGGCGATTGGCATATGCATAGACTATATATTTAAATACTAGAAAATAGTACAATAGCAATATGATATTGTTCACATGTATATAAGCTAAATGATGAGCGTGTTTGTATTGTGCAAGTTTTGTATTTGTATAACGTTTTGTGATGTCTTTGAAATGTGAAAAAATAACAAAAATGAAATTGAAAAAACAGGTTGTAAAAAATGCGATTGCAATGGGCTCAACCTTCGATTGTTTACACTTCACGGTTTCGCATCTTAACATTACTTTGACCTTATGCATGATATCTCTCATAACGATTTAAACAATATCGACTATATACACGGCATTCCACTCAATATTTGAGAAGGACACGTAATACACAACATGAATAAGTATAGAACTTTATTTTTAAGTATGAGTAGTCTCCCTTTGAACGATCGGGTCTATAATGCTGTCGTTTATCTTTTTAAAAATATATCGTTACAATTAATTTGACACGACAGGGCCTTTTCTGTGTCAGATACTACCAACATAAGAACATTGAGATCCAGATATTTCAAGTAAGGTATGTTTATTGTACACTCTATGTAACCAGTTTATTCTAACAAAGAACAATTGGCAACAGTAACTTGACGGATCGAATCGTCCTTCCTTCCTGTACAATTCTCTCCTATATATGGATACTATTTGCAGCGTGCGCATCTGTACATGTTAAAATGCAGTATTGAGACGAAAAGGGAAGCATGGACTGGTTTGAAGAAACTTTACATCATCTAGTTCGAAAAAAAGGGTGTGTGAAGTAAGAGCATTGAAAAATGGAGATGTTGGAGTACAACTGATAGAATAATGTTTGTTTTTAATTCACTTGGTAACTTGCAATCCGTCCAATGTAAACCATGTGGATCATCACTGGAAAACTGTTATTAAGTAACATACAACTTTAATAAAATGGAGAGTTGGATGATGGCTAACCCAAATCAGAATAGAAGTTGCTCAGTTGAGGGGTTGGAAGGGGTTGGGTGGCATTTAAAAATACATACGACGGCCTTAAAAAGCACCAGTACGGAGTGCCTTCTTGAAGACCTTTCATATTGGATGACAACCGACGTCGGAGGAAAGTGCGTGCCATTGCAATACAGTTAGGGGAAGGAGAGGTTTTATAAACGGCTTGGTTGTGGTGATGGGAATTCGCCAAATGAAATGAGGACACTCTCATAGGGTGAACTATGTACAGTGGCATTGGCGCCGCGGTGGGCCGCGGTGGGGCCGCGGTGGGGCCGCGATGGCCAAGTTGTTAAGGCGTCTTACAATCTGCTACCACTAGCCCTCCACCACTGGGTCGCGGGTTCGAGACCTACGTGGGGCAGTTGCCAGGTAATGGTTTAGGTCGGTAGTTTTTCTCCGGGAACTCCGGCTTTCTTTTTCCACCACCAAAACCTGACACGTCGTTAAGGATCGCCGTCCCTCCGCCTAAAATTGTAATGAGGCATTGGTGTTTTTTTTCTACGGCATCGCTATTGCATAACCAAATCATTTCTGAACAATAACCCATACCTTGCGGTAGTTTCTTCAGATTTTTTGGGATAATATGAAATTTCGATTTACTTTTCGATTTTTGTTTTCAATGGAACAAAGTGAAACAAAATACATTTGATTTGATGCAACAATGGTTTATTAGAAATATAACACATAAAAAATAATAACAACGTAAATTTTGATGAACAAAACACACACAAAAATGAGTAATTTTCTAACAATAATACAAAAACAAACAAAAATGCCCTTTACATGAATCAATAAAATTCTGAGTGCCAATGCAACACGTTTAGGACAACGAAAAGAAAATATAGGTGACAAAAAATAAATATCTTGCGGACTTACTTATCATACAAAAAAAGATAAAGATACACAAAAAAAGAGAGACCACTCTTACATTTGTACCAATAATAATTCAAATTCTCAAAAAGTCATATATATAATTTACAACATACAATCTATTCAAGGGAAGATAACAACATTTTCGAAATGGTTATCAGGGGCAGGTGACTCTTACACTGAAAAACGACAGTGGAATTCTTTAGTGTTTTGCTCTGGCTGGGATGGGGATCCTTAAGTGACCGTAGCTGTTAATAGGTCGTAAAACACAAACAAACCAAACCAAAGTGGCATTAGGATGGCAACTATCTTATCAATTTTGTTTTATAAAATAGGCATCATCTGGCTATATATCTTCTTTGCGTAAAAAATTGCATACAAAATACCGTAGCATGTTTGATACACTTACAAGAGTGGAGGGGAATATTTACTTGGTACCAACAATCAGCTTCGTTCTGAACCATTTATACATGTAAGTGGTTGATTGGATCAATGTTGATTCCAGACACTGGCGGAAAACTTACTTTTGCAGTGGCTTCAGGCTTTACCTTTTTGTTGTCTACCAAGATACAGCCATTTGTTATATCCCGGAAGCTAGAATTACAAATACCCCGCAAACATTGTGGTATACGATGTCGTCAATTTTTCCGTTGTGTGATTTTTTAGGTTACATATGTATACGATATAACATGAAAAGTCTACCATTTGGTATAAATGAGTCGGAAAATTGCATCGTGGACTTTGTTTGAAAGAGCGGTTATTAGCATGTGTACTGTAATGATTGATTTAGCTGGAAGAAAAATATCAAATCATAAATTCAGAAACAAATAGATTAAATAGAAAAAATAATTACATATATGTAAATGAACACGTATTACACAAATCTAGCATGTTCTGCATGGACAAGATATGTAGTACACAGGCATAACATATATTACACAAACCGATGTTGTACGTAATATGTAGACAGGAATGCATTAGAAATACCTGAGGATAACATTAAGGTAAAAAGATGAATTCATCAGATCGTAACAGATGTTACAATGTAGATTGTGTGTGATAAAGATGTACAGTTTTTACTTAAACAGAAAACAAGATGAATGGTCTGATGTTCATGTCAGTAAGGTATACACTGTATTTACTATACACTGTATGGTCTGATGTTCATGTCAGTAAGGTATACACTGTATTTACTATACACTGTATTACTATACACTGTATGGTCTGATGTTTATGTCAGTAAGGTATACACTGTATTTACTATACACTATATGGTCTGATGTTCATGTCAGTAAGGTATACACTGTATTTACTATACACTGTATGGTCTGATGTTTATGTCAGTAAGGTATACACTGTATTTACTATACACTGTATGGTCTGATGTTCATGTCAGTAAGGTATACACTGTATTTACTATACACTGTATGGTCTGATGTTCATGTCAGTAAGGTATACACTGTATTTACTATACACTGTATGGTCTGATGTTTATGTCAGTAAGGTATACACTGTATTTACTATACACTGTATGGTCTGATGTTCATGTCAGTAAGGTATACACTGTATTTACTATACACTGTATGGTCTGATGTTTATGTCAGTAAGGTATACACTGTATTTACTATACACTGTATGGTCTGATGTTCATGTCAGTAAGGTATACACTGTATTTACTATACACTGTATGGTCTGATGTTTATGTCAGTAAGGTATACACTGTATTTACTATACACTGTATGGTCTGATGTTCATGTCAGTAAGGTATACACTGTATTTACTATACACTGTATGGTCTGATGTTCATGTCAGTAAGGTATACACTGTATTTACTATACACTGTATGGTCTGATGTTCATGTCAGTAAGGTATACACTGTATTTACTATACACTGTATGGTCTGATGTTCATGTCAGTAAGGTATACACTGTATTTACTATACACTGTATGGTCTGATGTTCATGTCAGTAAGGTATACACTGTATTTACTATACACTGTATGGTCTGATGTTCATGTCAGTAAGGTATACACTGTATTTACTATACACTGTATGGTCTGATGTTCATGTCAGTAAGGTATACACTGTATTTACTATACACTGTATGGTCTGATGTTCATGTCAGTAAGGTATACACTGTATTTACTATACACTGTATGGTCTGATGTTCATGTCAGTAAGGTATACACTGTATTTACTATACACTGTATGGTCTGATGTTTATGTCAGTAAGGTATACACTGTATTTACTATACACTGTATGGTCTGATGTTCATGTCAGTAAGGTATACACTGTATTTACTATACACTGTATGGTCTGATGTTTATGTCAGTAAGGTATACACTGTATTTACTATACACTGTATGGTCTGATGTTCATGTCAGTAAGGTATACACTGTATTTACTATACACTGTATGGTCTGATGTTTATGTCAGTAAGGTATACACTGTATTTACTATACACTGTATGGTCTGATGTTCATGTCAGTAAGGTATACACTGTATTTACTATACACTGTATGGTCTGATGTTTATGTCAGTAAGGTATACACTGTATTTACTATACACTGTATGGTCTGATGTTCATGTCAGTAAGGTATACACTGTATTTACTATACACTGTATGGTCTGATGTTTATGTCAGTAAGGTATACACTGTATTTACTATACACTGTATGGTCTGATGTTCATGTCAGTAAGGTATACACTGTATTTACTATACACTGTATGGTCTGATGTTTATGTCAGTAAGGTATACACTGTATTTACTATACACTGTATGGTCTGATGTTTATGTCAGTAAGGTATACACTGTATTTACTATACACTGTATGGTCTGATGTTTATGTCAGTAAGGTATACACTGTATTTACTATACACTGTATGGTCTGATGTTTATGTCAGTAAGGTATACACTGTATTTACTATACACTGTATGGTCTGATGTTCATGTCAGTAAGGTATACACTGTATTTACTATACACTGTATGGTCTGATGTTTATGTCAGTAAGGTATACACTGTATTTACTATACACTGTATGGTCTGATGTTCATGTCAGTAAGGTATACACTGTATTTACTATACACTGTATGGTCTGATGTTTATGTCAGTAAGGTATACACTGTATTTACTATACACTGTATGGTCTGATGTTCATGTCAGTAAGGTATACACTGTATTTACTATACACTGTATGGTCTGATGTTTATGTCAGTAAGGTATACACTGTATTTACTATACACTGTATGGTCTGATGTTCATGTCAGTAAGGTATACACTGTATTTACTATACACTGTATGGTCTGATGTTTATGTCAGTAAGGTATACACTGTATTTACTATACACTGTATGGTCTGATGTTCATGTCAGTAAGGTATACACTGTATTTACTATACACTGTATGGTCTGATGTTTATGTCAGTAAGGTATACACTGTATTTACTATACACTGTATGGTCTGATGTTTATGTCAGTAAGGTATACACTGTATTTACTATACACTGTATGGTCTGATGTTTATGTCAGTAAGGTATACACTGTATTTACTATACACTGTATGGTCTGATGTTTATGTCAGTAAGGTATACACTGTATTTACTATACACTGTATGGTCTGATGTTTATGTCAGTAAGGTATACACTGTATTTACTATACACTGTATGGTCTGATGTTCATGTCAGTAAGGTATACACTGTATTTACTATACACTGTATGGTCTGATGTTTATGTCAGTAAGGTATACACTGTATTTACTATACACTGTATGGTCTGATGTTTATGTCAGTAAGGTATACACTGTATTTACTATACACTGTATGGTCTGATGTTCATGTCAGTAAGGTATACACTGTATTTACTATACACTGTATGGTCTGATGTTTATGTCAGTAAGGTATACACTGTATTTACTATACACTGTATGGTCTGATGTTTATGTCAGTAAGGTATACACTGTATTTACTATACACTGTATGGTCTGATGTTTATGTCAGTAAGGTATACACTGTATTTACTATACACTGTATGGTCTGATGTTTATGTCAGTAAGGTATACACTGTATTTACTATACACTGTATGGTCTGATGTTCATGTCAGTAAGGTATACACTGTATTTACTATACACTGTATGGTCTGATGTTTATGTCAGTAAGGTATACACTGTATTTACTATACACTGTATGGTCTGATGTTTATGTCAGTAAGGTATACACTGTATTTACTATACACTGTATGGTCTGATGTTTATGTCAGTAAGGTATACACTGTATTTACTATACACTGTATGGTCTGATGTTTATGTCAGTAAGGTATACACTGTATTTACTATACACTGTATGGTCTGATGTTTATGTCAGTAAGGTATACACTGTATTTACTATACACTGTATGGTCTGATGTTTATGTCAGTAAGGTATACACTGTATTTACTATACACTGTATGGTCTGATGTTTATGTCAGTAAGGTATACACTGTATTTACTATACACTGTATGGTCTGATGTTTATGTCAGTAAGGTATACACTGTATTTACTATACACTGTATGGTCTGATGTTCATGTCAGTAAGGTATACACTGTATTTACTATACACTGTATGGTCTGATGTTTATGTCAGTAAGGTATACACTGTATTTACTATACACTGTATGGTCTGATGTACATGTCAGTAAGGTATACACTGTATTTACTATACACTATATGGTCTGATGTTTATGCCAGTAAGGTATAGACTGTATTTACTATACAATGTATGGTCTGATGTTCAAGTCAGTAAGGTATACACTGTATTTACTATTCACTATATGGTCTGATGTTTATGTCAGTAAGGTATACACTGTATTTACTATACACTGTATGGTCTGATGTTTATGCCAGTAGGGTATAGACTGTATTTACTATTCACTATATGGTCTGATGTTTATGTCAGTAAGGTATACACTGTATTTACTATACACTGTATTACTATACACTGTATTACTATACAATGTATTACTATACAATGTATTACTATACACTGTATTACTATACACTGTATGGTCTGATGTTTATGTCAGTAAGGTATACACTGTATTTACTATACACTGTATGGTCTGATGTTTATGTCGGTAAGGTATACACTGTATTTACTATACGCTGTATGGTCTGATGTTCATGTCAATAAGGTATACACTGTATTTACTATACACTGTATGGTCTGATGTTCATGTCAATAAGGTATAGACTGTATTTACTATACACTGTATGGTCTGATGTTCATGTCAGTAAGTTATGCACTGTATTTACTATACACTGTATGGTCTGATGTTTATGTCAGTAAGGTATACAGTGTATTTAATATACACTGCATGGTCTGATGTTCATGTCAGTAAGGTATACACCTTATTTACTATACACTATATGGTCTGATGTTCATGTCAGTAAGGTATACACTGTATTTACTATACACTGCATGGTCTGATGTTTATGTCAGTAAGGTATACACTGTATTTACTATTCACTATATGGTCTGATGTTTATGTCAGTAAGGTTTACACTATTTACTATACACTGCATGGTCTGATGTTCATGTCAGTAAGGTATACACTGTTTCTACTATATACTGTATGGTCAGATGTTTATGTCAGTAAGGTATACACTGTATTTACTATACACTGCATGGTCTGATGTTCATGTCAGTAAGGTATACACTGTTTCTACTATATACTGTATGGTCAGATGTTTATGTCAGTAAGGTATTCACTGTATTTACTATCCACTGTATGGTCTGATGTTCATGTCAGTAAGGAATACACTATTTACTATACACTGTATGGTCTGATGTTCATGTCAGTAAGTTATGCACTGTATTTACTATACACTGTATGGTCTGATGTTCATGTCAATAAGGTATAGACTGTATTTACTATACACTGTATGGTCTGATGTTCATGTAAGTAAGTTATGCACTGTATTTACTATACACTGTACGGTCTGATGTTTATGTCAGTAAGGTATACAGTGTATTTACTATACACTATATGGTCTGATGTTTATGTCAGTAAGGTTTACACTATTTACTATACACTGTATGGTCTGATGTTCATGTCAGTAAGGTATACACTGTTTGTACTATATACTGTATGGTCAGATGTTTATGTCAGTAAGGTATACACTGTATTTACTATCCACTGTATGGTCTGATGTTCATGTCAGTAAGGTATACACTGTATTTACTATACACTGTATGGTCTGATGTTTATGTCAGTAAGGTATAAACTTTTTACTATACACTGTATGGTCCGATGTTCATGTCAGTAAGGTATACACTATTTACAATACACTGTATGGTCTGATGTTCATGTCAGTAAAGTATACACTGTATTTACTATACACTGTATGGTCTGATGTTTATGTCAGTAAGGTATACACTGTATTTACTATACACTGTATGGTCTGATTTGATATTTATTTTAGTAAAGTATACACTTTATTGACTATACACTTAATTGTTTGATGCTTATATAAGTAAGGTATACACTGTATGGTTTATATAAGTAAACTGTACACTGTATTTTCTGCTTTAAATTGTATGGTATAATTAAAGTATACATCGTAGGATTTTATGTTTTTGTCAGTAAGGTAGAGACAGCAGGTTTCTATTGACAAAACTTAACAAGGTGATAGCCAGGATAGAACTCTGTAGTCGACAGTCATCAACAGAGTAGCGTTTGTCATACCCGAGTGCTTCCCACTCAGATCCGCTGATTAGAAACACGGGGTTTATACCCCGATACGGTTAGTCGTGTGCGATATAGTTCAGTTAAACTCAGCCTCTCAGGACAACATGATAAATGATAAGTGTGAATCTGTAAGCGGTGGTCAAGAGGATATTGATCCTACTGAACGGGCCCCAGGGAGTTGTAAACGGTTGGCAAGTCACGCCCTTGTTATAGCAGTATGTGGCGGGGTTGTTATTGGATTCGGACTTGGGTTCGCACTTCGTCAGACTCACCTTTCGGAGGATGCTATGATGTGGACAGGTAAACATTGTTTTTAAACAAACCATGTGTTTTTACAAGTTTTGATCTAAATTAGTTGACTTTTCGTTGATGCATTCATCCTCCACAGAAAAGTTAGATCCCCAGCGATTGACAGTTTTAATATAACAATTCAAATCTTTTCCTTGTAATTAAAAAGACACTTAAGAAATGTTTAAGTGCTGGTAAGGGTTTGACTAATTGCGGTGTACAGTAAAACCCCACTTCGTCGAACTCGATTTACTTGAATACCCCCTCATTCGTCGAACAGTTCGTTTGGTCCCGACCGAGTCCTTACATATTCTTCGTAAAGTAACCCCGGATAAGTCGAACCGTTATTCCTCGAACAAAAAGTCGTCCCGACTGTATTAATCCTTTCTATTCGTCGAATAGGTGTGACCTGATATTTTACCTGTGTATCACAGGTACCGGTATCGAAGAGTTCCTCTCGTTTTGATATTTTGTAAAATTAACGTAGCCGATTACAGCATAGCTATGTACCAGCAAATCTTATAATGAAAAATATGTGTTTTCTGATATATGAGTGATTTGCAATAAAACGTTGATGATCTAAATTACTTGTTTAAACGGGATATGTAGATATTTCTTAATCTTCATCATTTAGATTTGTGTTTCAGCATCAGATGTCACAGAATGTCCATACTGATTAAAATCTTAGTACATCCATTTGACTATTTGGTTATGCTAAACAGCCTGCTTTATGCTATCGTTGTCGCTAAACAGCCTGCTTTATGCTATCGTTGTCGCTAAATATCCTACTTTATGCTATCGTTGTTGCTAAACAGCCTACTTTATGCTATCGTTGTCGCTAAACAGCCTGCTTTATGCTATCGTCGTCGTTAAACAGCCTGCTTTATGCTATCTTTGTCGCTAAACAGCCTGGTTTATGCTATCGTTGTCGCTAAACAGCCTGCTTTATGCTATCTTTGTCGCTAAACAGCCTAGTTTATGCTATCTTTGTCGCTAAACAGCCTGCTTTATGCTATCGTCGTCGCTAAACAGCCTGCAGTATGCTATCGTCGTCGTTAAACAGCCTTTTTATGCTGTCGTTGTCGCTAAATATCCTACTTTATGCTATCGTTGTCGCTAAACAGCCTGCTTTATGCTATCGTCGTCGCTAAACAACCTGCTATGCTATCGTCGTCGCTAAACCGCCTGCAGTATGCTATCGTCGTCGTTAAACAGCCTGCTTTATGCTATCGTCGTCGCTAAACAACCTGCAATGCTATCGTCGTCGCTAAACCGCCTGCAGTATGCTATCGTCGTCGTTAAACAGCCTTCTTTATGCTATCGTCGTCGCTAAACAACCTGCAATGCTATCGTCGTCGCTAAACAGCCTGCTTTATGCTTTCGTTGTGGCTAACCAGCCTGCTTTATGCTATCGTTGTCGCTGAACAGCCTGCAATGCTATCGTTGTCGCTAAACAGCCTGCTTTATGCTATCGTTGTCGCTAAACAGCCTGCTTTATACTATTGCGTCTCTAAACAGCCTGCTTTATACTATTGCGGCGCTAAACAGCCTGCTATGCTATCGGTGTCGCTAAACAGCCTGCTGTATGCTATCGTTGTCGCTAGACAGCCTGCTTTATGCTATCTTTGTCGCTAAACAGCCTGGTTTATGCTATCGTTGTCGCTGAACAGCCTGCTATGCTATCGTTGTCGCTAACCAGCCTGCTTTATGCTCTCGTTGTGGCTAACCAGCCTGCTTTATGCCATTGTTGTCGCTGAACAGCCTGCAATGCTATCGTTGTGCCTCAACAGCCTGCTTTATGCTATCGTTGTTGCTAAACAGCCTGCTTTATGCTATCGTTGTCGCTATCCCAGTCTCACTTTTAGGATATCACTTGGATTTGACATGTAAGCAATCAACAAGTTTAACCCTTCCGTAACATTTTGTCTTTTTCTCTTTTTACTTTTTCAACGCTTACAAAATGTATAAATTTTCTTGTGTTTATATTATGCTGTAATCTCCCCGATTTTTAATTCGAATAACGGTTTTATATATACCTCAGTATAATGTTCTCTTTTTCTTACCCTAAACAATGAATAAAAGCGTGTTGTGTAGATATTTAAACCACATAAATGCTATCCGACCTAAACGTGCACGAGAGAGATTGTACTACATTTGTAAACAACACCAGGCAGTCAGTTTGGTCAAACGTTTGATGCAATTACTTACTTCGGTGTGTTTTTTCTAGAAACTGTTAGACACTGTGCAATATCGGTGGTACATAATTAAATTAAATCGACATCGGGAATGTCTACCCCTTCGTTAATAGGTCATAAGTTTGAGAAAATCAGAAAAGTGTGTTCCTATTGGCTACTAAGGGTTATAAATTCTATATTATATTGTTAATGCCATTAAATTAAGACATACACCGACAAAACCAATTGGAGTCTTTAGTTTCAAAATTATATGTCAATTCCCATAGCCATTTGTATTACTAATAGCTGTCTTAATATGGATCTTTCAGATTGTATTTTTATATACTGTGCAATAAGTTTTACTTTCATGCTTGATTTTTTTTCAAATTGTTGCCCCGTTCTTTGTGTATTATTGAAATTCATCACTTAAACAGGTAGATGTAGTCTGGTATCGTCACCATGCATAGCCTGCTGGCGCTTCGTGTGTGATGATGACCAGGAAAAATATTGCGTAGTTCGTTTCTGTGCTATTACCGACAATACACAAACTACCTAAGTTTGAGGAATATATAGGTACGTCTGAAATGGATCTACATTATTTCCATAATTGCTGGATATCATCAAATTAAAAATGTCGATTTCAATCATGTTAGGAATATTATGGAACAGCCAGTTGCCATTCGTTCTACCTAACGTCAATGTCTGCGTTTTAGAGTGTCATCGAAATTGTTGCCCGATGTCTTATCCAGTTGATCTACTAGGACAGTGTCACAATATCTGGAACGACTTTCAAGTAACAATTTTAACATCTGATAGCAGGTTTTATCCGATTCCGGGAGCATGGGGTCAAACGCAAAGCAAAGAACGCAAATTCCTGGCAGAACTCCTGTTCAAAGGACATTTGGTTAACGAAGAAGGGGTCCCTAGAAAGTCAGCACAGGTTGCTTCTCAGTGAGTCCCCTATTTAATATTGGGGAAACATATACACAACTCTTAAGTGATTTGCTTCTGTTCAGCACCCGTCAAAAATCTTATACTGACCCGAGTTTGTAACACTCGATAGTCTATACTCAGATTTGTGATGTGACTGAACATTACTGTCTTCTTTTTCAAATGTTTGGTGGTCCCTTTCGACGTTAGACAAGCGTCATTACCAGCTATACCTTGAACCACCATTCTTCTAAACCTATAGTATATCTGACATCTACAATGATCCGTATTGGCTGAGGTGTATACTAGTGTCATCCTTTATGTCCGTCCATTTTTCGTACGTTCGTCTGTCTACATTTTGCTTGTCTGGAGCTTCTTTACTCAAGTATTTAACAAAATGACACTTCAACCAAGCCTTTCTTACATCATTCTTGGAGCCCATTCAAAAGGCAATGCCATATGTTTAGGACCAAGGCCGAAGCTACAGATTCATAAAAAAGACGTTGGTAATGTTAGATATTTGATTTGTCCGCAGATTCCTGCCTGAATTTCGAACTAAACTTTATGAAACTACGCACAATTTATCCTTGTGTTAATATCTGAAGACAGCTTAAGCTAAAGGTCATAGGTATAAGATTAAGGGCACTGCTACAGGATGTTTACATGGTGACGGAAATATTTTCAAAAAAAACCTCCATATTTCTTAATACTATAATCTAAATGTACACTGCTTGTTTGCATTTATACATGCAAGTGCAACTTCAATAACTATCCCGTAAGAGGAAGATACTCAGGTTGGCCTCCATCATGAGGTGAATGGGCGTGTAGTTATGTATTGTCTGTGTATTTTATTTTGGTTAAATTCAGAGCTCTGGTTCAAAGAGACAGTCACTTTCAATCAATGATTTTGAACGGGTTAAATGTGATGAAATCTTCAAATGGATTTATTTAAAGAAGTGTAAAGTCTGAAGTAGTGATAATTTCCCTATAGCTTACTGACATCATTTGCTTTAAAGTGTCATTCAATTCCAAATACAAATTGTAAAAATCTCCTTTGAAAGATCTCATATGGACATGGTTCTCGTGCGGACATTACACCGAGGCTTTATGTATAAGATCTATATTGACGGTAATTTGTCGGTAGCTTGCTGCGATAAAGTGACGTGAAACTTGTTTAAAGGCCAAAAAGAGTAAAATGTGTTAAAATATTATATTTATAACAAAAGGTAGGTAAGTTACAATATTTGGCCTGTTGTTGGTCGATGTGAAGAGCTATCGGCTTTACGTTGTCCCATTTTCTAGATCGTAGAGGACATAACTTCATACTCCTAGAAACTGCGATTCACGATAAGAATAAGAATGACATGACAGGATATTTTGTTCCGAATGCTAAGCTTGATGTGTTCTGTATTGATAAACGAGTTTTATCTAACTACTGGATATGTCGCTGTATGACATGACAGGATATTGTGTTCCGAATGCTAAGCTTGATGTGTTCTGTATTGATAAACGAGTTTTATCTAGCTACTGGATATGTCGCTGTATGACATGACAGGATACTGTGTTCCGAATGCTAAGCTTGATGTGTTCTGTATTGATAAACGAGTTTTATCTAACTACTGGATATGTCGTTGTATGACATGACAGGATATTGTGTTCCGAATGCTAAGCTTGGCGTGTTCTGTATTGATAAACGAGTTGTAATTAACTACTGGATATGTCGCTGTATGACATGACAGGATATTGTGTTCCGAATGCTTAACTTGATGTGTTCTGTATTGATAAACGAGTTTTATCTAACTACTGGGTATGTCGCTGTATGACATAACAGGATATTGTGTTCCGAATGCTAAGCTTGGTGTGTTCTGTATTGATAAACGAGTTGTAATTAACTACTGGATATGTCGCTGTATGACATGACAGGATATTGTGTTCCGAATGCTAAGCTTGATGTGTTCTGTATTGATAAACGAGTTTTATCTAACTACTGGATATGTCGCTGTATGACATGACAGGATATTGTGTTCCGAATGCTAAGCTTGGTGTGTTCTGTATTGATAAACGAGTTTTATCTAACTACTGGATATGTCGCTGTATGACATGACAGGATATTGTGTTCCGAATGCTAAGCTTGGTGTGTTCTGTATTGATAAACGAGTTTTATCTAACTACTGGATATGTCGCTGTATGACATGACAGGATATTGTGTTCCGAATGCTAAGCTTGGTGTGTTCTGTATTGATAAACGAGTTTTATCTAACTACTGGATATGTCGCTGTATGACATGACAGGATATTGTGTTCCGAATGCTAAGCTTGGTGTGTTCTGTATTGATAAACGAGTTTTATCTAACTACTGGATATGTCGCTGTATGACATGACAGGATATTGTGTTCCGAATGCTAAGCTTGGTGTGTTCTGTATTGATAAACGAGTTTTATCTAACTACTGGATATGTCGCTGTATGACATGACAGGATATTGTGTTCCGAATGCTAAGCTTGGTGTGTTCTGTATTGATAAACGAGTTTTATCTAACTACTGGATATGTCGCTGTATGCATGTGGTTATTATAGTTGTTCATTACAACCGTCGGTATATTGAAACGTACATGAGGCACCTTTTACGTAAACTCTCGTAAATTATAACTCAAGAGATTGTTATCATATAACATACAACACAATTAAAGCATCACAGTAAACCTCATTTGTATCGCATTCCATAAAACATTTCAGTCATATGATATGGAATCTTTCTTAAACGTGTTATAAATCTAATATAGAAATGGAAAGGCTTTTAACGTTCCACCATTTATCCACCTGTGAATTCATAAATCATATTCTTTTCAATGCATGAGCATAACTACATAATAACCCGATTAAGAGAAACCCACCTAAAGAGGTAGACATGTTTTGACGGGACATCTTCCGGTCACGTTTTCATATGATACAGTATATAATGTTTTGCATGACGGGTAAACTCATTTTGAAGAAACTATAATCTTTATACAGTATTTTGACTGAAAAGCTATAGACCAGAACGCCTAATTTCTTCATCGAAAATGTATTCAAAATATTTCTTTATTTATGTGACATTAAAAGAACTTTCTACCTTGTTCAATTCTCCTTTTCTCTGACGGAGAGCAATGAACAGGTGCCCCTATTCATTTCATGTAAAAACGAACGGAAATCAGCGATACACTCATAGAAGCACTGTACAATCCTCTTCAATCAAATCAGAAATGCAAATCATCTTCTCCATAGCACCATGACAATTCTTCAAAATCTACTCACTTTCTCAGTAGCACTATGAGATACGTGAAAATTGGAGGAAGGGGCATCGGGAGAAAACTTTTCATGACATCTTGAATTCTGCAACATGCAAAATTGAAATGACTCCACAGAAAACTGAGGCCACTGTGATGATACAGCCAGCAGAGGAAATCATGATATGTTTTTGATGTAAAGTTGAATATTACTAGTTTTCTGGTTGTCTCTGTCCAGATGGCTCACTCACATTCTCACACTCACTCAGCCTAGAACGAACTGTATAAGCCATTTCTACCTCTTTAACGACCACGGGCTGACCTCGACACGTTTTCACCACACCCGGAAGGCAATACTTAGATTTGTGCTGTAAAATTGATGTAAAACTTTTTTACCATCTGCGGTCAGATTTCTGTTTACAGTGTCAGCATATTTTTTTTTTTATCTTCAATAAACTTATTACCAAGTTTAAATTGAAACAGCAGTTTTTGAGTGTTTCGAAATTCTTTCTTAAACACGATTTATTTACGTAGCATGAGACAATACCTCAGTTTTTGATGGGCTATAATGAAGTTTTTAATTGGTTGGCCTCGGGGTCCTGGTTCGCAGTGTCAGCCTCTTTCAATGTTAAACGAACCTGATAAACAAATTATCACTTAAAGCGCCTTCCTTTTTTATTGTTTACAGGATTGCCAGGTGAAATATTCATGAGAATGTTAAAAGTGACAATCTTACCAGTTATTGTATGCAGTATCATTCACGGTAAGTAGGCTTGTAAGGCTGTTTGTGTGTAGAAAACAAACATCATAAATTATTAGTAAGCTGTCCTTTTTTAAGAAACCATGTGCAACCCTACATTACGTACATGTATATTCTGTTTTCATATGTAATTGGTATTAAACGAGGGTCCACTGCAAAAAGGCTTTCAGCTATTCATCGTTTGGCCTGAAGGTGAAGGACACGGCAGACTACAAATTTGTTTTTGGGTAATGGCCCATCTTTTCTCTTGATATTTCGCCTCACCAAATCTTTCAATGCAAACGATTTAGAACAGGTTGGATACCCATAAATGTCGATGGATTGTGACGTTTTTTTAGCCAAATCAACCATCTCACGAGGATCTTATTTTGACCTTTTGGCCTTCACCTTTTTCGTTACTGCTCGATATCAGAAACGACGTCTCAGTATACTTCCTGCTCTTTGTTTTCGTGAAAAAGCTCATCGCGTTAGATTGTTCACCAGAACTCGCATCGCATGTACTTTCGATAAGTCGGTCATTTTTTTTCTACATATCAAATGAAACTTGGCATATATGTATATTATATAAGGTGAGGGGTTGCGTTAGTTGGATGCGCATATTTCGAGGGGGGCGATTTAGTACAATATATCATATACACTAGTGTTAATGTTAATTCGAAGATTTAAACTATGGACTACCCGTCGTTATTGCATTGTGTCTAAGTTGTCTTCTGAATTCGCTTTTTTCAATTGTCATTTTTTAGTTCAAAACGCTTGGTTGACTTTAAAGTATTGTAAACACAAATGTGCACGATAATTTATCACAAATAATTACAAATTCGTCAACTTCTCACAAGCCATTATATATATTACAAATTGATGAAAAAGGTTATAAGAAGGAAAAACTAAGAACTTCTTTGAAGGAAACTAAGTGGACTCTTATGAAGCATAATATACTTATTTATGGAACTATACAAATAAGCCTTTAGCTAGCCAAATGTCTAGGAAAATGACAAAAAATCATAGTCAATCACATTCCTCAACATGTAGGTAGAACGATTTCTATGTATTACATAGTGATTATGAGATTATACACTCTTTGTTAAATATGAGACACAGATTTTGAATCCCATTCTACAGTGACAAGACTTTCTTACGAGACTTTGATATAATTGATATATACATTATATTCCGTCTTTGCGTATTGCAGAGTTATCTTCTCTTGGGAGCAGGTATTGATTGTTACGTCACTTGTTTGTGAGAGTAACGTCATCAATTTTTGAGAAAACGACGTAATTTTCTCACACAAACCAATCTTAAGTCTAAAAACACAGGACAAATAAGAATGAAATGAAACCCTTCCTCGATATTTCCAAGATCATACAAAGTAAATTCTTTCTTATTTCGAGGCAATGCATTGTATCAACCATCTCTGTATCAAAATAATGTGTTTGTAATCTGTATTTCGCAAGCACACATTTATAATTTTAAATACCGGTTTTGTTAAACTACTATTGTAGATCAAAACGGTTATCAATGTGTTTATACAACATACATTTTGAAGCTGTCTCAAATATGATTCTCATTTCTGAATAACAGTATCCTTTATACGTTGTATCTTTAACGATAAACAATATTTTTTATTTTGTACGAAATGTGCCAACCACATAACTCGTAATCCAACGTACACACAAATCATGTCTCAGATGAAAAATTGAAATTGTTTTACAGTTTTAAATTCCTGTTATAAAGTTATTAAAGTTCATCGTATAAGGCAGTCAATCTACAGTTACCCGTCCTCAATATGTGTAACCAGTAATTAGCTACATGTATATCTCTCCTGCGCTGTTTATGCAAAGGGAAAAGACCAAGTTCAAAATAACCAATGGCATTACTTACTATTTTCATTACACCCATTAAGATTTTCAAAAATAATGAATTAATATTTTCAATCTGTGAAGGACTGAAACCTATACTTTACAGCCGTAATTCACAATACAAGATGTATACGTATCAAATAAAGATAATTGAGATGTTTTCATTCAATAGAAATCATTTCGCTTTCCGATTCAGAAGAAAAAAGGTTTACCTTCCAGGTAGAGCAAAGATATTAAATACAACATTACATTTACCATTATTATTAAAAACAAAACTGAAATAACAAAATTGATCTACTACTTCTATAAGCTTAACAATCAAACACCCACTGGAAACAATCGTTTCGTTTCCTAAAAACCACTATTTCTGTTTTGTTTACATTTATAAACAACTTCCAATGTTGAGAATAAGTGTTTAAAAATTTCAACATATTTTGGAGATCAATTCTATCCTCAGAAAACAATATTGTGTCATCTTCGTACATTATTAAAAAACAAATTGAGTAATTGCAAGTGAAAACCTTAACAATTCGGATTCCATGTCGTTGACAAATAAAGAAAATATTTCAGGAGATACATATTTTGATAATCCGACCTGTAAGTCGTACATAGGAGACAAGTTATCATGAAGCTCTAGGCAAGACACTCTCCTTTATAAATGTTATAACATAAAGTAACCACAGTTACCATGTTAAATACTATCAAACGCTTTCCCATAGTCTATAAAAACAGAATGAAGCATGTTATTACTCTGTAAGGGTTTGGTAATCAACAAATGCATCTCTGGTACAACTTCATTGTACCGGGCTTAAAACCAAACTGAGCATCCGTCATAACATTATCAAACTTTCAAGAGTGAGGTAAACAGCTTGGCCGTATGACTTACTAACGTTATTCCACTATTCAATGGATGTTGAACAGATAGTTGAATAAATGTCAGTGTAGAATATAAATAGTCATTAAAACTTTCCATACACTTATGTAATCCAGATAATAATCAATACCTCCTCGATATCCAGGGGTTACTCTATACAGGGCGAAAGTGAGCGTAACCCCTAAATATCGAGGATGAATCATTCCATAAATGGTATGTAAGAATATCAATAATTCTTAAGTCCAAATATTCATTCAATCCATTAATTATGTACATGTTTATCTATAATACATCATCGTATCTGATTGAACAGGTACGGCCACCATGGACCCTCGCTCGCACGGCCGGGTTAGCCTCCTAACCTTAGGATTTGTGTTCCTGGCCAACACTGTGGGCTCATTAACCGGGATCCTATGTTACTTCATCGTCAGACCAAGTAAGTGTGTTGTAATTGACCGGGGTAATTTGCTTCTACATTACCTTACTATTAAGTGTAAGTTCACAGGTGAGAGCCGTATATTATTACGTTATCAGACAAGCTAACAGTGCTCACATTGATCGACATATTCAGTTTTGTTTCCCCAATTACTTCGTTTGTGATGAGAACAAGCTTGCTCTGGTGAATGGCGGTAGATGTGTGGTTATTGAACAGGTCTATGTGTGGGTGTTGAACGGCTGTAGATGTGTGGGTGTGGGACGGCTGTAGATGTGTGGGTGTGGAACGGCTGTAGATGTGTGGGTGTGACACGGCTGTAGATGTGTGGGTGTTGAACGGCTGTAGATGTGTGGGTGTGGAACGGCTGTAGATGTGTGGGTGTGACATGGCTGTAGGTGTGTGGGTGTGGAACGGCTGTAGATGTGTGGGTGTTGAACGGCTGTAGATGTGTGGGTGTGGGACGGCTGTAGATGTGTGGGTGTGACATGGCTGTAGATGTGTGGGTGTTGAACGGCTGTAGATGAGTGGGTGTTGAACGGCTGTAGATGTGTGGGTGTTGAACAGTTCTATTTGTGTGGGTGTGGAACGGCTGTAGATGTGTGGGTGTGGAACGGCTGTAGATATGAGGGTGTTTATCGGCTGTAGATGTGTGGGTGTGAAACAGCTGTAGATACGTGGGTGTTGTACATTTCTAGATGTGTGGGTGTGGAACAGTTCGATGTGTGTGGATGTTGAACGGCGGTAGATATGTGGGTGTTGATCGGCTGTAGATGTGTGGATGTGGAACGGCTGTAGATGTGTGGGTGTTTGCGGTGTTCTGCTTGTTATGTGTTGGGTTTTTTTTCGAACGACTCACTTGCATTTTAACATCACTTGAATACTACAAAACAGTTACCCTAATACCAAGCCTAATTATACATGCTCTAGGTAGGTTGGATGACAAACAATGGTAAAGTGTTGCCCGTGGGATTGAACCTAGGACCACACAGTTCTTAGGGTTTTGTAGGTATGGGATAAAACGCGGACCACTGGTGTAAATAGGTTTACACACTTCCGTCAGCATTGTTATGTTCTTGGTGGGGGTATTTTTTGTATGAAATACAACGCTGATCACTGGTTCAATGCATCGTTCACCATTGTGAACGAAAATTGATCTCGTGGAAAAGAACAATCCTTTTCCTCAAGAAAAGTGTACTTAATGTATATCCTGACCATGTGATGGTAGAAAAAGATTAAAAGATCTTAAATCTGTATTACAGGCGAGGGGCTGGTGGTGGAGGATGTAACACAATATACAAGTGTCAGCACGGATATACAGCCACAGGATATGTTTGCCGATCTGATCAGGTTTGTTATATTGTTTGTACAGAACATAATTCAATACTGCTTTGAATAAGGCACTGCATTTCAAACATGATACCTAAAAGTGCAATACATTTTATAAATAATGATGAGTCATGTATTTAGATATATATTATCATTGTGTATTAAAATGCAGTTTTATTCTTTTACAGAAATATTTTTCCTGACAATATACTGACCGCCTGTTTCCAAAAGGTATCTATTAAAGTTAACGTTTAAGCCTTTCTGATAAGTTTGCCCTCGTTTCGCGGCTATAGTATGCTTATGAAAACATAATAGAACTGTTGTAAAAATATTTCTTGGACTGGGAAGAAAAAGAGCTGAAGATTTGTCGATGTCCCGTGTGTAAATGTTCCTTAACCCGTGGGAAGACACAATATGCCAGAGATGTTCGGACCAACACATATGTAAAAGAAGTGTTTATTTTTAGAAATGTAAATCATAACAAGGGAATGTGCTAAAACCATAAATAGAATAACGAGGTTACCAAAAATCAGCCCCTACCGCAAGGATGCGACACTATATCTGACCTATATACATATTTTTACAGACGCAGACCAGATACGATTTAATAAGCGAATTTAACTCTACTAATACAAGGCTGTCCCGCTCCATTGGTACAGCAGCTGGTACAAACGTTCTAGGTAAGTAGTGCTATGTACATCAAATAACCTGGAATACTTCCGTATTCCGCATATTGTTCTTACACTCTAATTACTGCGACAGTTTGTTTATTGGATGACCGTATTTAACAAAAATCAATAAGAGTAACCAAGTGTGAACAAAAAAGGTCATTCGAACGCAAAATCTATAAAACTAGGGGGAAATTGAAAAAACAGGAAGGACACTTGAAATAGTACAAGGAAAGTTAGACCAGGTGTTCCAAAAATCATATCACAGACTCAAACCCGCAATACTAACCACAGAAAAAAGGTCTTCAAACTTAATATATCACAGATCATTTCGTGCTACATTGTACCATTCTTCGAGTAAACTTAAACAATGTTATAGTGTTAGCAATATTGGGTACTAGTACAATGTATATCAGTCCTTCCTGTGTAAAAAATTAAATTTGTCACTGTTAGCAAGAACAAAATGTTTAAGGAGGAAGCTGAATTTGTACCAGAACAGTTCGACGAATGGTGTAAAATACTTGCCGGATCTATAAATTCAACAATAACATGGTATTTTTCTCAAAACAATATGAATTTCCGGAACTAATTAAGACGCATTTATCCTCCAAAATAATAATTAGAATTACTTCGCACATTCTTCACCTCAGCGTCATATCTTGACATTTACTAGAAGTGTGAACATGACAGTAAACTCACTACCCATTATATGACAAAGCCGTTTGGCTTTAATTTTGCATTCGTAGTAGCTTAATACCAGTTTCATTAGCTGGAGCTCACCATATCTCAGGAAGTTTGCTTCTCTGGCATTTTTTTGAAGTATCAGCAATATCTAGTAAATTAACATTTGTTGTATGATAAAGTACTCGGGTAGGATTTCCTACCAGTGACATGGTAGTTACGTTTTGGTGTTACAGGAGACATGTTGACGAGTGTCGCGTTGGTGCAAGATTCACCTTTCTATATCATTTCTTCTTTTAATGAGTTCACGATGTCTTTGTTTTCGTTTTGATATATTCCCATGTTCTGTTTGTGTCCTTTGAAATGTTAATCGCAGCTCTAACCTGATCCGATAGTGTACATCTTTTAATCTTTAATGTAGAGCAAATTGCTTTACCCGCGATAAGTACAGTAAAACCTCGAAATACTGGCCTGCGTTTCCTTTACCACATCACCTACCTCTAGCGTATTTTATGGTTGGTTGGTTTTATTCTGAATTATCATCTTTCTCCTGTGAAATGTAGTTGTCCTGAATGCATTTCAAATATGTGTCATGTTAAATGTAATATCAAGAACGCTTGACTTTTTGTATTTTATTTACTACAGTTTATTCAGTCAGTCACCTTAAAATACTATATATTTCATTACAGAAATGGGGTCTGTGTGAATGCCTCTTGTTATGTGTCCGTTCATGTTGAGCCTGTTAGAATCAATTTTTATTTTCATTTTGACTGTATGTGTTGATGTTATATTCCCATTGAACTTCTTTTGTTCTGTATAATGCCCTAATGTATGTGTTTCGGATAAGGTCTTCGCAAATATATCAACAAACTTTACCTTTAAAAATTATTAATGCTGTGACTATTTTTCTAGTTACATATTCACTTTCCTGATAAAAATAGCATAATCGGTCAGGAATTTAGATTGAGATTAAATTAGGTAACTTATTTGAGAGTAGTTACTTATATATATCACTTAAAAGAAAAAAAGCGAATGTGTATTTAAACTGGTTTGGTTGTGTTTTTCAGTAGCATTTTAAAATGCAAACATGTTGAAGGTAACAGGAGATTATAGTAATATATCATATGTAATTATATATTTCTCTTTTCCTACATAGGTTTAGTTACATATAGTTTCAATGATATGTGATCAAATGGTATGGAGTATCAGTATAATGTTTAATGTATAACTTCCTTTTCAGGCGTTTTGTTTATGTCAGCTGTCATTGGGACGGCCTCAAGCACGTTGGGTGAGAAAGGCAAGATTGTTGTCGACTTTTTCGAAGCTTTCTCGGCCATTTTTATCAAAATGCTGACATGGTTTATGTGGTAAGAACGATACAAGTTCAGGCCGTCCTTTTTTAACATTTGCATTTAAAGTTGTGTTATGTTTTGATAGTTTGGTGTTTTTCAAAAACGCGAAAAATATTATGTTTATATGAGGTACACTATGTTAGATATATTGATATTACATCACCTTTAAAATAACGTTAATCACGTTTAATATAACGTTAGTCACGCTTTCACCTAAATTTAATCACTTTTCATATACAAAAGCCCGCGTGAGATGTAGTGTAAAGCACGTGTGATATCCTATAAATAATTTGTTATATAACATATAATGCAAATCGTGTTCGAAATCATGCGAATGACGTGAAATGTAATGTAAGACGTGTATGTATTGTAATCACGTCTGACATGAAAATAATGTAATTCGCGCTTTACATATTGTAAAATAAATACCAAAAATACATATCACGTTTGATATAACTTGCTGTATGATGTAACTCACATTTGATATGGTAATCTCGTTTAATATAATATAATCCATGCGTTGCTATGTTAAATATATTTGATAGTCAAATCAGGTTTGATGTAAAAAAAACTTATTTCGCTATATATGCAATATATATATGCGCAAAATGAAACATATCGAAAGTTCGAAATATTTGCTATTCAAATGATTTTGGTTGATATTTTAGACACGCATAAAATAAGTAGATTTTCAGTATATTTTGCTTTATTTTCTGTATGATTATAGCTATTCTATGCATAGTATTAAGATTTTTTTGTTTAAAAAAATGTCTGAGAAAAGTCAATTTTTAATTTGTTACTGTTATTAAAACATTAAATGAAAAAAGTTTTTTGTTTTACATCACGATGGTTTTTAGATCAATCAAAACGTAAAAAAAACCGTAAACATAAGTTTTTGTTGTAAAAACGTATGCTATGTCTTGCTGCCATAGCACAGTTGTAATGACTGCTGAAATCTGTACAGGTCGACTCCTGTGGGCGTGGCCAGTCTGATAGCTGTATCAGTGGCCCGGGTGGTAGACATTGAGGATACGTTCAGCAGTCTAGGGCTTCTGGTGGTGGCCTTCTTGACAGGAATTATTTTCCATCAGCTGGTTCTGTATCCCGTCCTACTGTTGACAATCTTCAGAATGAACCCTTTGTATTTCTACCTCAAGTCAGCGAAGGCTTGGATGGCAGTGTTCGGTCCTCCAAGCTCGTACGTACCTACAGTAACATAACACGCAGCTCTATTATATCATTTCACTCTGTCATCATAACGTTAACCTGTCTCTACCGCTGTCATTTCACTCTGTCATCATAACGTTAACCTGTCTCTCCCGCTATCATTTCACTCTGTCATCATAACGTTAACCTGTCTCTACCGCTATCATTTCAATCTGTCATCATAACGTTAACCTGTCTCTACCGCTATCATTTCAAAACAAAACGTCATCGTCCGTTGCAAGTTAAAGGAAAATAGTTAGTCCATCATGTTACACTATATAATCGGTCGAAATAATCTATGTAAGGTCTCCGGTAGAATCGGACCATTTCTTCTGTGCCTTCGCCTGGCTATGTAAGTTTATCAACCAATCAATTATCCAAACTGATGAATACTATTCTTTAAAGAACCATTAAATCAGGGTTACTGTCATATGGTTTTTAGTTCGGTTGCAAGATTTCCCAGATGACTGTTGATATACTTCGTTGCCATTGCAAAACTGAGCTCCTCTTTGAGACAACTTGTTTTTAAATAAAGCTGGATATTTATCGCACAGGTTAACGGGACAGATCCTATGTAACAACATAAGTTCTACCAGAAATATCTTTAATAATAGGACTGTTGTTTGAACGTTTTGATCTTAACTAGTCCTTGGAAAAGTATGACTTAATGTCAGGAGATAAAACTGCACTCGTAAGAACCTGTTGCCTGGGATTCGGATATTTCTCAGAGATGAAAATATAGATTAGGGGCGATAGAGGTTTTAACAGCGAACGCTCAATATGAGTTACATTTGACCAACAGATAGGGTTGGACAACAGGTTGTAAGGGAAGATAGATAGAATGATTTTGGTAAATTGTAAACATGTTTAATACACATCGATTTGCTATAAATAAAAAAGCGCAAGTTTGGCTAAATCTTGAGATTAAAAAATCATAAGCTTAAGCTGAAATTTAAAGAAGTTCATTTTTTTCAAAACAGAGACAAAATACCTTGATTTTGTAATAACTCATAATGGTATACTGAAAGACCCAGGAAAAGTCAAAGCCTGGCTCCAAATTGTGTTAAAGAAGTTATATCTGAATGTGTTGTTACTAATGTACAAGATTTCTTTCATTTTTTCCCGAAATTGCACAACCTCTAATTTCTCTGACAAAGAACCACCGGACTCATAGCTGTCAATCAGCCTTTGAACATTTGAAAGAAAGTCTTATAGTCGTTCCCCTTCTAGCTTACCTTGACATTGTCTGAAGTCCATCTGATCCACAAATTAGGTGGTCTACCAAAGAAAAAGAAGCATTTTCCTTTCATTATGCACTACAATAAATAGAATTTGTAATCAGGACTGGTCCTAAACCTTTTAAGTACTTGTTGGAGTCACCTACACAAAACAAGAAAATTCAACAATGTCAATTACCATAGTCTCAACCATTAAAGTTTGTCAAACATTAGCCACAATAAACAGAATGCGGGAAAAGCACGAAATTAAAAAAGCGGCAAAATTAAAAAAGTACCACACTACAGAAACAATGTATGGACTGAAATAAACCACAGCGTCTATAGAATACATTAAATATACCACAAACGCAATAACACAACGTCATTACACAAAATAAAAAGTCCTTAAGAAAATACTAGCTAATAAAACACTCAAACACAAATAAATATCCATGAGTATGTCTCAAGAGGAATATTATAATTGCATACTTGCCAACTCTCCCTATTGTGGAGGGAGACTTCAGATTTCGGACCCTAAAACTGAACATTTTCAACCAGTGAATTTACTAAACTATTCCTTATTCTAAGATCTGATGATGTCATCTCAAAGGACAGTTCAAAAGCTGCCCTTTTAAAGTGTTTTACCTAAAACACACACACTCTATTTATGCATTTAATTTTGAATACGCGTAATCCCCCCATGAAAATTGTAATTGTAATTGTATACCCAATATTATTCTAATATATTAGATATAATGACATGTCTCTATTCCAGAGCAATCGGGATTCCGGAAATATTACGACTATGTGAGGAAGACTTTACTGTCGACAAGAGAGTATCAAGGTTTGTAGTCCCGTTTGGAGCGACGGAATCTCGTATTGGCAGCACGCACTTCATCGCTTTGTCCGTCCTCTTCTTGGCCGGAGTACAGGGCGTCAGCCTCAATCCCCTGCAAGTTTTTACTATATGGTATGAAGTTGGCCTTGGTAATGTTATAGAATTTCAAAGTTATATAATTTTAATGTTATAATCCTACATAAAGACATATTTATTGTTTTGGAAATCGTTATTGACCAACATGTTGTCCTAAATTTGACAGGTAACATTATGATTGGTTCCATTGAAAACACAGGAAACATTTGTTTAGCTGCTGGTATTTTCTGCGTTGGTTTCTGTGCCTCTTCGATTCTTCCTCTTTTTTTCGTAACGACTTTGTGTTCTGCTTTTGTCAAAAAGTTTATTATGCTTCTCTAATATACATTTATTGTTAAATACATTCAGTTTTCTAACAATAACCATTTGTGTCCTTAAGTGTACATGACTATTTGCTATATTAAGTATATTTTGATTTTGAAGGATACTGTGTTCTATGTCATCCCTGGCTGTACCTGCTGTTCCCAGCGCCTCCCTTGTCGTAGTCCTAATCATATTGACGTCCGTCAATGTCGACAGTGGCGCGATGGGTATTCTCTTTACACTTGAGTGGTTCACGTAAGTGTGTCATAAGAAATGTACAGACACGTTTACAGTAGTATAAGAACCGTATACATTAGTAGTATAAAGCCTAGATATACAACAATTCACCGGTGTTACAAAGATAGGATGGTTTCGGTATTAATATTATATTTCAATAGTAGGCTACGTAAATTTATATATATATAAATTCCTGTAAATTTCAATGTTGTTGTTGCTAGATCAACTATACTGTGTAACTATTTTGATCAAAATCCTACTAGCAGTGATTATTGACGTAGTCATACTTGATCTTTATATTCTTACCTATTGTATTGTTTATGCGACTTAATAGCATTTAGATTCTGGTTCAGCGAATAAAAGACCATACTGTTATAACAGTCAAATTAAGATAATAAAAATGGTATAAATAGAGGTTACACAACGAGTGATTGTAAAGCTCGCGTCTTTTGAAACTTTTGAAAATTAACTAACTCGAGTGAAATAAATACCATATTCAACAATCACTCGTTGTGTAACCTCTATTTATACCATTTTTATTATCTTAATTTGACTGTTATAATTTTTGTATTCACTGTTTTATGTTCAATGTATTATGTATAACATATAAAGCAAAGCAGAAATTGAATTAGACTAAAAGTTTTGCTACTTATTTAATCCTATTCAAGAATATATCAATGGTTATTTACTGTGTAAAGGGATTATGTTGTTGCCAATTTTCGTTAAGAGGCCGTCATCCCTCATGTTCGGGAAATGAAAACGCAAACACTGTTATATAAGAAAAGAACATCTAAAAGCCTTCAATAGACTGAGTTGATTTTGCAATCATAATTGAATCATCTACATAGAGAATAAAAACATACTTAGCATACCTCTGTCTGCTAAGGGACGATTTTCTAAAAATGTCTAACAGTCATTCACATAAAACTTTAAAAAGTTTTCTAGTTCTCGCACATTTCTCGCAGAAATTTTTGGATCGCAACTCAGAAGTAAAATGCAAAAATATCAGAAAAGATTCACCGAAATATACAGCGTTAGAGTACATATAAATGCAGTTAATATTGTCTCTAACATCTGTATGGTCAATACATTAGACTGATATATATACCTGTGTGTTTCAGAGACAGACTACGAACCACCAGTAATTCCATGGCGAATATCATCTGTACGATGACAGTGGATAAGTTATGCAAAGGAAAATTGGAAGTGGTTCCTACTGACAAAACACAGCAGCCAAATGTAGATAGCTGTGACAGCGATAGTGACACAGACGGCACAAAATCTGTTCTTTTAAAGATAATTTAAATATCTATAAATAAAACAGAGCGCCGTGAAATTTGACTGCGTTTTACGTATTTAAGTGTATCGTGATCTTTTTTCAGTTCCATTTGTATTCATTGAGAAGAAATTGCTTCACCACTGATATACTATCTTGGCCGGGTATCGAACACGTAAAAGGTAGTCCGCCATTTGATCCCGAAACTAATCCAAATTATGAAAAATATTGTTTTGTTTTCTTTTATGATGGATATACATTATATATCAGAAAACTGTATCAAAAAATCTACATTGATAATTTTGTTTATTTTTTATCCCTATTTGGATCAATATTTCCCGAGTTTCCTCTCGTTTTATCACCAGCCTTGTGACACTCTGAAAAGAGATGTCCGGTGTTGTAGCAAATTCGCACCAAGTCATATGTTTGACCCATTAGAAGTGAAACATCTTATTCTTGTATACACTAAGTATGGGAACATTTTTGCGAGTTCGATCGACATCCATTTACCGTGATTATTGGTGACGTCTAAACTAATAAAGTTCGAATTGAGATGTCCGAATACTCCAGCACAGTTCCCAGGTAAGAAATTTGGATTAAGACTTTGACATAGCGAGGCACTGGGCGATCCTATGCGTTGTAGCTCCGCTTTTATATGTCGACGTGCTCTGTACAATAACACAAAGCCGTAAATCAGCAGCATAAATATGTCACCATAGCAACTGCATGTCCCGAAATACTTTTGTTTCGTATCGTTCAGCAAGGCTGAATAAATAATGATGTTCTAGATAGGGAGTAATACAATGATAGAAAATAGTATGGACCCTTCGTGTCAGTCAAATTTTATGTGTTTTTGTTTTCAGTGAGTTCCATACATTTTAGTTTCGGCAACACTAAAAACGAACTACTGTATCCCTCGCCCTGATTGCATTTACTTCCGTGTTATTCTTTCAACCTCCACACAAAATAAATTTCCGCTAGCGGCCGGTGGTGGAATGTTGCAATATAACGCTTCCTAGCTTGAGAGATGTCATGTGATTGCGTCGACACGTATCTAAACAAAATCTTAATAAAATATAAACTTTATTTTAAAATAATTATGAAACAAGTTTTTTTTTATTTATATGAATCATCGCTAAGATCATGAACATTACTAAACATTCATATGACGAATCGAATAAATCATTATTATGATCAGTGAAATTATAAAGACAACCACAGCTGGTCCAATCACATAGGAACACTTTCAAAGAAGGCAAACAACATCAATGCATTCTTCATATACCAGGGGTGCAGAGAGCGAAAGTGAGCGTAACCCCTGGGTATCGAGGATGGGATCGAGGGTGCTTCAATGTCTTTGACATTTTTGACATTCATATTTTTTAATTGGTATAATAAATCGCTCCTGGTGACCGTGTGAACTTGAAACCACTGGTGAAAATACAGGTATATCTATCATGAAATGGACTCTACCTTGGAAATAATTAACACTTTACATATATACCTAATTCCAACAGATGGTAGAGAGTCATCTCCCAACTGCCAGGGTTATCACCATACCGTGACATTAGATTAGGTAGAGTCAGTCCGGTGAGCCTTGACCACTGACCTGACTGGAGACTCTATTAATATATAAACAATGGAGGATTAATCCCCTATTGTTTATAGTATACAAGATACAAGAATTTTTATTTAGAGTCGTGTTTGTAACAATGCAACTTTAGCTCAGAAGAGCTATTCTTACGACTATATATAACAATCATAATTAATAGAAACAATAAAATATCACAAAGGTAGAGGACTTCTTGTTTGGGCAACACCCTTCACTTCAACTTCAACATGATACTCTAAAACGTTAAATATACTGAACATTATTTAGAGGCGTCAGAGAGATCGGTTAAAAACAAGTATTTTTAATTTTATTTTTTAGAACTATATGATAAAAACAACATGTACGCTTAGAATTTGTGAGAGAGGAGATTTGCCTTCAGTGTTGAGAGGTCTGCACTGTCGGCGATGAAGGTTGGGAGGTTGTTCCAGGTACGAATTGCTCTAGGAAAGAATGAATTTGCATGATAATTTGTGGAGCTGTGTGGAGTCTGGAATTTGTGTTGTCGGGCTCGCTGGAGAATTTGGAGGTTGCCATCATATGCCAAAAGGCCGTTTATGATTTTATATAGTAATATGGTGGAGGTCATTTTATGGTGTTGTTCAAGGGATTGCCAGTTCAGGGTTTGGAGCATTTCTGTAACACTACTGGTGTAGTTATAGCACCCAAGGGTGTACCTGGCGGCTCTTCTCTGCACCATTTCAACTTTATGGGTAAGGCTTGCCTGCCATGGATCCCAGATGGGGCTACAGTATTCAATGTGTGGGCGGACATAAGTTTTATAAGCAAACTCTTTTGTTTTTACATTGGTGGTTTTGATATTTCTCCGAATGAATCTTAGGGATGAATTTGCCTTGTTGGTAATGTTATTGATGTGGGTGTTCCCATGAAAAGTTTTTAGTGCTGGTTAAGCCCAGGTATTTAGCCGAATCTGCTTGCTTTAGAATTTGTCCATGGAGAATATAGTTAAATTTGTGTGTCAGTCTTTTCTTTGAGATGTGTAGAAATTCACATTTATCAGGGTTGAATGATATTAACCAATTTTGTTCCCACTTTTCCAGAAGATTTAAGTCTTTTTGTAGTGATTCTGCATCAGAGTCGGATGAAACAGTTACATAGACAATAGTGTCGTCTGCAAAAAGTATAATTTGGCTTGTGATAGAGTCTGGTAGATCATTTATATAGATTAGAAAAAGGAAGGGCCGCATGACTGAGCCTTGGGGACTCCAGAGAGGAAAGGACAGGACGAAGATATGGTGTTACTTACAGCAACTTTCTTACTACGGTCAAGGAGAATTTTTTTGACCCATGTAATGATTTTGCTGTGAATGCCGAAACGAGTGAGTTTTAGAATGAGTCGGACATGGTCGACTTTGTCGAACGCCTTTGAAAAATCCATAACGGCTATATCTGTTATGACCTAGTGCTAGATTATTATAGATGTCTGAGGTAGAAGCAAGAAGTTGTGTTTCGCAGTTACGTTTGGAGCAAAAACCATGCTGGAGAGGGCTGAGAAGATTATAGTTGTCGGCGGGAGCCATGATGCTTCTGGTAAGGATGTGTTCCATCAATTTACTGGGGATGCAGGTTAGCGAGATTGGACAGTAGTTTTGCGGTTTGTTTTTTGGTCCCTTTTTAAATACAGGGGCTACAATGGCAGTTTTACAGTCTGAGGGAACTACACCGCTTGAGAGGGAACAGTTAAAGAGATCTGTGATAATTGGAGCTATTTCAACATAGACATGTTTAAGGAAATTTGGAGAAATTTTATCAGGGCCTGTGGCTTTCTTGGGGTCCAGGTTTAGAAACACCAGGAATTGTGATATTAATGTCTGACATGTAGTTCGCAGGCTTTTGTGAGGAATAAAGTTCAAGATCACAGAGATGAGATAGTTTAAGTGGGACTGGGTTGGTAAAGACAGAGCGGAATTGTCTGTTTAGTGTTTCTGCTTGGGATTTTGGGTCAGAGTATGTTATGCCAACGACCTTTAGTGGTGATACCTCAAAATTATCAGATTTTTGTTTTTTAACAAAGGACCAGATTTTTTCACTTGGTTTGGCCTTGTCGATATTTTCAGAGTCGTTGATTACAATCGATTCCACATATGCCCAATAACTTTGCCGTATTTTTCTTTGAATTTCTGTTTTAATAAGTTTCATTTTCTGATGTAGTTTTGATTGGTGTGCCAAGGAAGTGCTCTTAATTTTCTTATAAAGTTTGTCGCATTTTCAGATAGATCTGGTTTTTATGATAGACCATTTTTCTTCTGTTGTGGAATTCTGGGTGGACGACAGGTATAAAGTAGTGAAAGAAATTAGGCCAGTCTTAATGGCATCCCAGTCAGCTTTATCAAGTTATATGCTAGCCTTATTTGACGTGGTTGTTTCCGTTGTCGGCCAAAAGTGACAAGGATTTCATGAAAAACTAGGTCCTGATCAGCAGTTCCAAGACTAGGTAGGGTTCTAATTTCGTGGACAGGAGATGGCTGATTGAGTAAAAAGAAATCACTGAATTGTATTCTCTTTACGAGTAGGTATTTTTACATCTTGTTCAAGGTTGTGATTTTCTATGATGGTAAGGAAGTCAGAATAAGGTGCAGTATTGCAATTGTTTTTATAGCATTGTTGTTGCCAGTCATACTTAGGGAGATTAAAGTCACCAACACCAAGTAGCCACGTGTGGGCATTTCTATGGACACGTTGGAGGGACAGGTCCAGTTGTGCAGTGCTATCAGGGTCGATTTCCGGAGAGATTTATTTTAGTCATATATCTGTAGATATTCAAACTGCTGGCAAAGGAAACCATAGAAAATCATAGTTCAAGAGAGGTTGATATTAAAAGGAAATCCCATATGAAATAGAGGAAAATCTTCAAAAACTTGGTCCAGATTATTTTTGGACACAGATAAAGTGTGTTGCCCCGGACAACTAGGGCAACACCCCTGGGTTTGCCACTGTTCCGAGGCGTCTATGCTTCGGTTAATCAATTTTTCAAATATCAAATTGAAATTTGGTATAGAGGTGTATTATAGTCATATAAACGTCACATCTTCTGTTGTCGCTTACTTTATTCGGTATTTTCAAAAAAAAATCTGGCGACGCTTGTTGTCACATGAGGTAGCAGAGTACAGTAGCGTACGGTGACCATGGTGATATTTTTATACAATGAATAACCCCTGTAATATAACATGTATCAAAATTTTAAAAAAAAATCAGCACTAAAATTGGCATATACATGATGAAGTGGACTATGTGGGCTTCATAATTTTTCAAAAAAAAATCGAATTTGGTTTGAGACTACAATTTTGGGCATTTACAAATCTGTGTCTACACAACAAAAGCTAGCTTTTCATGTAGTCTATTTTTGTACTCAGCACATGTGTAAATATTGTGAAAACTCCACCGGAATGACCTATGCTAAAACGTGAGTATTTCTGTTACCGAGTAGGCGATATTTAATTTCAGACAGGTTTTAAGAAAAACAATTCTACTTGCGGGGGTCAAATTCTGGGTTAAAAATCATGATTTTTTGCATATTTTGGTGTTTTTTGATGTGGTAACCATGGTTTTCAGAAGTCCCAAATCTGGGAAATCACTTTTTGAAAAAAAAAATGTTCTTCTAAAAAACACCTATTCAAAATGTAGTTTATAAATATATATATATATGTAGGTGTGTTGTGCAGGATGAATCCGCTATCCATGTTTATCCGGGACATGCCCTTTATTTTTAGGGTCAAGCCATTTCTACTGTACTCTGCCACCTGAAGACGCTTCAAAGGGAGGTGACTCGTACATAAATTTTGGAGACAAATAAATAATTTGTTAAAACAGTTTATTATAGGCATAACCATTGTATGAGTGAATCAAGGGGCATCTATATATGTCCCTAAACGATGCTTGATATTTATAGACGTTAATCTATTACGCTAAGTTATTAAAAAATACGCAACTAACCTGAAATATAAACATGTGAATCCTTATTAATTCTCGGTTTTTGCAACGCTTTAAGTGATAACGACTGTAGGATTAAGGATACACATATTTTGGTGTTATTGGTGTCCTGTTGACGATCTGTCCCACCCACAAGTGTCGTTACGCTAGCATGACTCACGAACATAGCTAACCTGGAATGGAGATTGACGATAATGTCGGTCTAAAGCAGGAAAGAAGAAACCAATTTCTTCGAAAGGCAAAAGGACAGCGAGAAATCACAGGTGGTTATTACTTAGATGAGGTCATTGGATATTTAATTTCCCTTTTTGTAAAAGCAATCACAACGAAATAAAGTACTGTGTTACCGTACAGTAAAGCGAAACATGTTACTGGGGTACACAATGCCTTGTAAACATTTAAATTCGGGGCGTGTCAGGTCACTGAATGCAGGGGTACTTATATAATTATACATAGTGTAATTGTGTATTGGCCCTGATTAGCGTTATCTGCATGCGATCAGATTGGCTTCTCGCGATCGTAGCGTTATACATATTCAATTCATCGAACATTACAGTTTAATATTACCACTGAAGAGTCCAAAACAGTTGAAAAAGACTAGGTATGTTTGATTCTGTATAATTGTCACAGTGTGTGACGGGCGTATATATTTCATTTTATGATACTTTCATTATTACAGGCGATATACACCAGTTGTCGGGGTGTAGTTGGTGGTATCATGATCATTGAACATCAAGGATAAACAATATTTGTATGATACCTGGTACGCCAGTAGGGACTCGCTGATATAAAAACCACACTTAAAATGTATAAGGGGATGCCATTTCATGGTTTGAACCAGAGACATATTTTTTATTATACGTCTCTGTTTGAACTGAGAAAGATCTGATGATACACAGGTACTATCCTCGTCTGTCAATACACCTATAATTATATTATATGGGGCAAAGAAGTAATTCCAACAGTGTGGACAAGTTTAGGTTGTCAAATTTTCGGAGCGATCCGCTCCTTTTTCAAGACACAGTGAAACGAACAGTTGCATGTACATATACAGCATATTACAAGAAGATAGAATTGATATACTATAATTGAAAATATAGCTTTTATATAAAACCAATAGTCCCCTCGGCTAAAGGCAGCCGAAGGCAGCAATTAAGCTGAGAGCATCGCGGACAAGGAATGCTGATGTAGAGGATCGCTACGAAAATTTGACAACCTAAACTTGTCCACACTGTTGGAATTACCTCTTTGCCCATATAATATTTTAAGTAATTGGTATCCTACGGACATACCTCCATTAGGATCCAGTGTTTTATGGGATTTTACCGTCAATATATATTATTTTTTGACCCATATAATTAAATTATAGGTGTATTGACAGACGAGGCTTGTACCTGTGGATGATACAGCTTATAATATTCACTTTTACCTGTTACCACTACTATTGCAGAACGACAGCAATTAATGTACATGTATATAGCAGAGGAGGAGTTAGGTTCCGACAAAATATCTTTCTTTCAGTCTAGATAAGAGCTGATTTTTTAAAAATTGTTGTTCAAGTTTCAGAAAGGCTTTTGAATGGTATATTTACCATTGGCTAGCAGTGAAAGTTTTTGCCAAATAATCTGATACACATCTACCATGATATGAATACAATTTGATGTACATCCGTATTAACTATAGAATATCACAGACACTGGCCATAGGTATTTAGGTCATCTGGTCAACAAAGCATGACAACGAAAAGGGACACATTATAAATCACATTTACCTGTAAGTTGGCTGACAACGTCTGTTTGACAGTCCTAGTAAGGTGTTGATAAACACATGAATACACATGGGTATTGGTTCTATCAGCTCATTTTTATTGACATTCTTCATCAATGGAAGCCCTTCTGTCAGACTCTAGTCAGGTACAAGTATCTTATTCTATATATGAATTTGATATATCATAGATTATGTTGGATGTGTATACGTACATGCTATATCCGTTTATAAAGTTTATACAGTACATGTATTTTGATGTGTGACTTAATGTCTAACCAGGATACCCTATATAGTATTAGGCAAGGTTTAATTTATTTGACCAGAATAAGATAAAATTGTAGATTGCATGTATTAGGACTAATTAGAGAATTTCCTTAAGCTTATCTCATACAATATATGTGTACATAAATACTGCATATTTCCTGTTTTCAACTTTGCCCCACCCTCCTGACTACATACCGGGAAACAACCCACCTGTCCCGAAGTCACCGTCCTCCTCTACCCCATTCTCGTACTCCTTGCTCTCACTCTCCATACATGTGACAAAAATTCTGCTTAACTATCCTGAAACCTATAAATTCTATAATTACAACCCTGCCTAACCTTCCCTGCCATATACCCTATATACAGGTCACACCCATCTTGCGTCACAGTCACAGTACTAGTCTACTTGATCACAATCCAATCCCATTTTCCCAGCCCTCACCCTCCAGACTACAGTTGTCCAACAACAACCCTGCACTGTACCAACGCCTTTATTGCCTTCTATGTGTGATCACGAACCTGTCGTATCACCTTCTCTGACCCCAGCCCTGTCTTGCCTAATTCAAATGATTTTCGATGATCATTATGTCATCCGAGCATCCATGGATGATTGTTTTTCAATTAGAGTTGAATTACCAATTAAAGCGGAGCTGTAAGTACTACACATGTGTATCTTGCATATCATATTTATATATAATCGACATAATGCAGTACAGTCAAAATGTGAAAAAGTGTCATCTTTGAGATTAGGAAGAGAGTGTATGTGGAGAGTCTGTAATTGTTTATTTGTTGAAGATTAGGCGTGCTATTTAAATGTAGAGACATATTACTTAAGCTTGGACCGTTAGGGAGAAATGTGTATTGAGAATGACCAGCGTCATGAGAACAAAAGGGTGGTGTGTGTTAAAGTGGAGATAGGACAGAGTTCAGTTTAGTTTTGTGAGGTGCACGAGAGAGGACGTAACTATTGGAAGTTGTGGAACGAACGTTGGAGTGACAACATGCGAGCAGTGAGAGTGTTGCGGTGAACGTATGGATATGTACCTGTATATATGTATATAGACTTAAATAAACTGTAAATAGAAGTCAGTGCATTGTCTCATAATTATGACATCAAAGACAAACCAGTGGCTCCGTCACATAAAGATAAAAAGGTTGTGTCTTAATAAACGTCCATAAGCTCAAAATTTAAATCAGGTTCAAAATATAGTTGTAAGATAAAAAGTATTTAAGCTTTTTATAAACATGTACAGGGCTACATATACATGTATAGTAAATGTAGCAACTGGTAAAATGTAATGTTATTACAATATTTATTGATTCAAGCACAAGCATGTCACTTATAATTATTGTACTTGACAAAGGTGATAGATGCAAATTGATAACATTTCCTTATAAGTCAGATTTGTTTTTAGTAATATTGTTTTTTTTCTCCATTTCAGATCATAGAGGATCCCGAAAAAAGTTCTGAGAAGCATGATGCAGACACACCAGAACTACCTCGCAAATCTTCAAGTCCAATCCTTATAAACGTCAAGAGTAATAACAACAGTGAGGACACCAAGCATCTCCTTGAAATGGATGAAGGTGAGGACAAAAAAGCTGAAGAACCAGTGGAGAGAGCTTCAAACAGGGGAGATGACATTGAGCTAGCAAAGAGTAATGTAGAACCAGATGAAAAAGAAAAGAATGAAAATGTCAAAGAACCAGTGAAAAATGATCTAAGAGAACAAACAGATGATCAATTAATGAGACAGGAAGTTGATAACAATAACGCTAAAGGAGGAGGTGTGGACGACCCTGATGCTATCACACCTATTGATGATGACCATGTGGTACCAATTGATACAGATAACAATGACAAGGCCAACACAGACAAAGCGGAGGGGAAAGATGTCACAGACGCAATTAGCGTTATGTCTTTATTTATGGAGAAGGATTTACGATTTTATTTCCAGCATCCCTATTTGAGGATATTCATGGCATACTTTGTTACGTTCTGTAATTTTCTGATATATGCTGAAGACCCTGTGGCACACAGTATGAAAGAATGTAATATTCCTCTGATTGGGAATGACTTTGCCTTTGTGTGTACTCGCTATCCCCCCAATGGCTTCAGCTTCCTGAAGGTGATCATGTGGCTAGGAGCCATTCTCATCGGCTGTATCCTTGGGAAGATTCTCGTACATTTGTTGCTGTTCAGTAAGTATGAATATTATCTCCTGTTTAAAATATATCTGTGTCATCATTGCTATACTTTTCTGATTGTTTTGGACTTGTTCAAAATCTTATTGTCAATAAATACCTAAATATTGTAAGTTTTTATCGATGAACACAGAACAATATTGGTATTGTAAAGTAGTGGAACAAACTGATGAATGATTTTACCCTTATGAAGAATTAGATGGTAATATGCCTTTAGTTTCTCTTGTTAAAAGTAATTTGATAAAATTAGTTCAAATACACACCAATTTCTATTCATATTGAACTAAATGTGATCTGCAGTTAATATACAAGAATAGAAAAAGCACATACATGTAGTACTGAGCATTGTCTAACCTTCAGATTTAGTCATTTATCTCATGTGTACCACTTAAGGGCCTGTCACACCTAGCCGATTTGGGTTGCCGGAGCTATAGGGCCTGTCACACCTAGCCAATTTTGGGTCGCCGAAGCTATACGAGAGCACAAATTTGGCGATTTTCGAGGATTAATACTAAAGGACACAGCGCAACGGTATCACATAGAGCTCTAAGAACAGTAGTACATTGCCAAAAAATTAGCAATGGCAGGTGACTGTACAAATTTTTGAACAGGCTCAAAAATGTCTGCCGTTGCGCTGCCGGAGCGAGCAACGGGACTACAACAGCAGTGCTCCAGTATGACTTCGTTGATGTTGGTAGAGCACTGCTAGCACCACATAATGGATCGCCGGCTCTCCTGTGGCCATAATGTGTACGGTACTGGTACCAATGTGATACCTTAGTACTACCGAATACCACCGAAGTAGTACTGATGCGCCGCCGATGTACTAACAGAAAAGTGGTATTCGGTAGCACATTGGCTATTGCATCGGTAGAACAACGGTATCGCAACTGGAACACCAGTACTTCATTGACATTGCTACTGTCAATTTTGATGGTTTTCCAATTGCTTTTTTGTCATTGCTCTGCCGATTTTTTCACCATTGTTAATTTTTTGCTTTGGTTCAGTCCCGGTGAGGTACAACGGTAGTGTGTGACAGGCCCTTTAGACATGTCATGTTACATGTAAACTATAGATCGTATGATTTGTAGAATACTCGTATAATTACCATATGTAGCAAATGGTTGGAACTGACTTGCAATTGCTGATAAACAAGCAGGTTGGACTCCTATATTGTACTACCATAATCACATTGTTTATTATCATATGATCACACATAGCATTATTACTATTACTGTAAAATCAGTCTTTATAATATATGGGGGGTTTCACAGTGTGACACATATGCATGGTGTTTGAATTACATCCAAATTCATGATCCTGATAAAAGTTCATTATGATTATAGGTATGTAGGCAATTAGCATTCAGACAGCAGCTGACAGAATGATAATTTAATCCTGTTTATGTTTTCATGATTACCATGGGAAAATTAAGCTTGAACTGAAATACAGCTGTATCAATGTTACAGACACCGGTAGCACTAATATTAATGCTACATGTACAGTACTAACATCAATTTTGTGTAACAGTAGCACTAACAGAATGAAGTGGCTTGGACTTAACTTGGCTGATTTGCCTTCGTTTTTCATTAACAATTTAGCTATGTTGTATTTATAAAACCATTGAAATGATTTATACAGTTGTTCTACAGAGTTTGTGATTTTACAATTCCAGTAAGCTTAGGGTACCAGGTAAAGACTTTAAAACAGCTTGGAATGGAATATATACATGTTGAGTGTTGGTATATGTTAATGATAAAACAAATCAAGGTGCTTATTTTTTTCTATACATTGTATGTGATACATAGCTCTTAAATAATTATATATCTTAACTTCCCTCATTAGAGGGTACTCCTAGAAAAATCTAGGATGTTTTTTTTTTATCTGGAAACCATTGATACAGATTTTACTACCAAAATTAAAGTCATACTGTTTTTCGTTATACCAGTATTGAAAGTAAATTTGAAAGGAATAAAATATCACTGCATAGAAAAAAGTAACTTTTAGTACAGTACACCACATTTGTTAAGGTGAAAAGGTATGAAATATTATTGGGTAGTTAATATAAGCAAGTCAGCTAAAACAACTCTTGATACAGGAAACAAAAATTGTGCAAAAGGTTATATTTCCTTCTATAATTTTTCTTCTCAGGGTGTTTAATACATTGCAGTAATATCTGTCTCCTATTTACAACATTGCCTCTGCCATCTCTGCATTATCCTCACATGATGAATATATGAACACTCAACATATATATGTCTTAACATATCTACCTGAAGGGTAAATTTCCAGGCTTGGAATGACTTTGCTAGTGGATTATTTCCCTTTATGATGAATGCCTTTATGCTAATATATATATTGGTATTTTTTTTTTGTCCTGGACAATATTGCTTATCACATTGCATTAACATATAACTGTAATTATATATTCACACTTTTTAAAGTTGGAGTTCATTTTTGTATACCGAACATATATTGTAATAATGTTTGCATCATTGTTTTGAAATTGTTTATATAATGTAAAATACATTTTTGTAGTATTTTATTCACATTTTTGTCACCATTTATTAGTGTATTGCACCATTTTACCCAGCATTCCACTGCAGGCTCATAATTCTTATCACAGTGATTGCTGTATTACAGTGAACACACACCCATGTCATATTTATTTTGTGGATTTTCCTATAACACAGACTGAGATGTCATCATGTCATGACATCATGATAGTTTATACTGCATTAAAAAGACTATATATATATATATATATATGTAGATATAAAATCAAAATGGCAATGTTGAAGAGTTGAAAATGACCGAAAACTTGTTTTAAGAAGAAAATATTATATATTTGCATACAATTTGGTTCCATTTCATATGAAATTTATGAAATCTTTTCAGAAGTCTTTTTTAGCTTGTCAGAGGTGGAAATTGTTAAACTGTTTCAGATTTTACCTTTACATATACAACATATTATTAATGATGTACATGTGTGCGCATGCTGGAAACCGGGAGGGCCCACTTGATCATGGTGTAGCTATATCACCAGCTTAATTATGCTTATGATATCAAATTGTAATTTTTACATATATATTGTGCATATAATGGCAGGTTTGCATACATGTACACTGTATATTTGCCAATCTTTTGAAATTTTCATGGGGGAGATACCAGGGACCAAAAAAACCCATTTTAAAATGACTTATTTTCAGTTGTTTTTTCAGATGAAAGGATTATATTTTAGATTATAGGAATTACATTTTTATTTAGCAAATTCACTAGTTGGAATATTAAATTCAAGTGTCAAAAAATTGTAATCTCTTTCCAAAATAGGGAGAATTGGCAAGAATAGGTTTGAGATGTATGTACCAGTAAACAAGCATGGTCTCCGAAGTCCATCTAGTGGATACATGTACCCATAGATTTTTTTCTTTCTTCAAAAAGCAATAACATATTTGTGTGTACAGCCATGAACATAAACAAAACATTTTTATATATTACATTGTCAAAATTTGTATACAATAGCATAATAGTTGTGGAGGGACGTGTGGGGGTGGGCGCGGTAAGATAGTTTATACCATGCATATAATGAGTGTCATCTTCAGATGTATTGAGAATTAGAAATAGCTGTAGTATTAGATATATATATAGTACCGTAGATGGTAAAGCTTTTGACCAATACCAAATGTAGGTCACTGTGACCTATATATACTTTCCACTTCGATGACTTTGTTTATATACATGTGTAAGCTTTGTGTTTAGCTTCATCTGTTTGGTTAATGTTTAGCTCCATTTCCAACAAAGCAGGAGAAGGGACAGGACTGAGCTTGCATGATTTACAGACATGTTCTCGCTGTCTATAAAGCTTAACTATAAACACACAATGCACATGTTAAATCATACACAGCGTCAAAGTAAACCCTTGTGCTGATGTAATATTTTGCAACTAATAATATGCCATTTTAAAAATAGTTAAAACTACAAGCACTGCTTTTGATTTTCCAGTCACAGCTGTTCCTTCTAGGTTTATAATATCATAATTATAATTAAGATCCAGTACTGCAATATGTTGGCCATTGTATGTACATAGTGTAGTAAGAAGCTACGAGTAATATGAATGCTAACTATAAGGTTAGCCTTCTACGGCGAGTGTAATCTACGATCAGACCAACAGTACGCGAAATACGTCCGTATAGCAGCTTGACAAAGTGTAGACTACCCTCGATATGATCAGGCACGGTAGCTCAACACCTTCGGGCAAGTTGACCTGCTCACCAAGCATACAGAGAAGTCGCCTCGGCCACTTTACAAGTGCATTTTCACAACAATATCAACATTTGCTTTTATTTTATCACAAAGTAGTTCTATAATTTGGTATGGTGAGCTAAGGTATATAATTAAGGTGCAGATATTTAATCAGGGACACCCTACTCTTTTGAAAATAGGATTGCTGCATCATCATTAAAATCACTCAAAGTGATAAAATAAGACCTATGATGACTGATTAACCTAATAAGGTCCAGCAGTGTTCTGATTAGCCTCCACACTAAGTGTTATAATATCCAGTGAATGACCTATAACAGATCAGAATGTACATGTGTACATCAAGCCGCTTATCCACCGGTACCTCCTTATACTGTTATAACTTCACAGAGTGACAATCGCGAGTGATCATACATGTATGTCCTTCATTGTTCCAATCCACCTGATAACTGATATAACTTCACCACGGAGTGACCAATCACGAGTGATCATACATGTATGTCCTTCATTGTTCTGATCCACCTGATGACTGTTTTAACTTCACCACGGAGTGACCAATCACGATTGATCATACATGTATGTCCTTCATTGTTCCGATCCACCTGGTAACTGTTATAACTTCACCACGGATTGACCAATCACGAGTGATCATACATGTTTGTCCTTCATTGTTCTGATCCACCTCTTTACTGTTATAACTTCACCACGGATTGACCAATCACGAGTGAGCATACATGTATGTCCTTCATTGTTCTGATCCACCTCTTTACTGTTATAACTTCACACAGTGACAATCACGAGTGATCATACATGTATGTCCTTCATGGTTCTGATCCACCTGGTAACTGTTATAACTTCACAGAGTGACAATCACGAGTGATCATACATATATGTCCTTTATTGTTCTGATCCACCTCTTTACTGTTATAACTTCACACAGTGCCAATCACGAGTGATCATACATGTATGTCCTTCATGGTTCTGATCTACCTGGTAACTGTTATAACTTCACAGAGTGACAATCGCGAGTGATCATACATATATGTCCTTTATTGTTCTGATCCTCCTCTTTACTGTTATAACTTCACAGAGTGACAATCACTAGTGATCATACAAGTATGTCCTTCATTGTTCTGATCCACCTGGTAACTGTTATAACTTCACACAGTGACAATCACGAGTGATCATACATGTATGTCCTTTATTGTTCTGATCCATCTCTTTACTGTTATAACTTCACACAGTGACAATCACGAGTCATCATACATTTATGTCCTTTATTGTTCTGATCCACCTCTTTACTGTTATAACTTCACAGAGTGACAATCACGAGTGATCATACATGTATGTCCTTCATTGTTCTGATCCACCTCTTTACTGTGCTTATTCACGGAGTGACCAATAACGAGTGAGCATACATGTATGTCCTTCATTGTTCTGATCCACCTGGTAACTGTTATAACTTCACCACGGAGTGACCAATCACGAGTGATCAGACATGTTTGTTCTTCATTGTTCTGATCCACCTCTTTACTGTTATAACTTCACCACGGAGTGACCAATCATGAGTTATCATACATGTATGTCCTTCATTGTTCTGATCCACCTGGTAACTGTTATAACTTCACCACGGAGTGACCAATCACGAGTGATCATACATGTTTGTTCTTCATTGTTCTGATCCACCTATTTACTGTTATAACTTCACCACGGATTGACCAATCACGAGTGAGCATATATGTATGTCCTTCATTGTTCTGATCCACCTAGTTACTGTACTATTTCACAGAGTGACCAATCACGAGTGAGCATACATGTATGTCCGTCATTATCCACCTCATTACAGTATACATCATTACATATTTCATTACATCTTTTTATTTATATTAACATGTGTTATTATATGTTGTTATATATACTTAGAATTATGTAAAAACCAATTTTTAAGAAATTTGCAATTAGATACAGTTCTTCAAGAATTTAACAAAATCCAATTGATACTTGTGTAGAAAATGAATTAATCTTTAAATCAACAATAATAAATCAGTGCCTTAATTTAGAATATTTTTTTAAACTTCATGCATTATTACATGTATTCCATACATTGTATTCAAGTATATAGATATGTAGTAATTTTAAGCTTTAGTTCATTACTCATATCAAGATAAAATTAATTTGTAGTCATTTTTTCTTGTCCATTCATTGAAATATATCATTAAAATGTGAAAACAATTTCTGTCAATTATTTGAATGAGTATGGAATCATAAAGGAGTACAAATTAAATGAAATATCACCTGATATCTTTAGGTGCTTTTCCATCATAGCGTAGATCTACTGTGTAGAAGTGGAAATTATGGCAGCGTGGAAATGCTTACATTTTTCCTGTTGAGTAAATTAGCATGAAAATATCCACACACAAATATATAGATTGTAGATTTTCAGATTATATAGATTTAGAACCATTGCAAATGCAGGAAAATGTCCACATCATGATTAGTTTAAGGAGTGACACAAGCTGACCATTTCCACATGCGAGAATTTTCACTAAATTTACAGTTAATCAAGATGATTTCTATAATTCTAGCATTTATGTGAAACTATCTCCATGTGCCTTCTAACTGAACATTTTGCTGTCATTTTGTTTTTAAATATAGATTTCATCTGTGTGTACATGTATATGCTTGCATTCTTCTGTTGCACCTGTAAGGTTGTTTAATAAGGATCCCTTTCCTGTTTAGACAAACTGCTGCGCCTGAAGATGTTCACGGAGGATCAGGGATCCTGGATGGCCATGTTTCTCTGTAGTCTTTTGGCCCTTTTTATCATGTCTTGGCTCTACAACGGGTTTCTGATAGCCGGGGGAGATGATACGGAACCGTACCGGATTTCCGGAGATCTGGGACTGTCCAACTCTATCTTCATGAAGGCTGCTGCCTGTGGCACCTGGTGTGGAGATTTCTTCACTGCCTGGATGGTTGGTAGCGATTCCCTCTCACTAACCAAAGATTGAAGTATGAATGATGCTGAGAAATTTTTGAAAGTAGAGGATCAGCATTTTATTGAAGGAATGGGAGGAAATATATATGTAAAGTGGAGAGTTATTAGAAAAATATGACCTGTGAAATTAAAGGGTTATCTTCAGAAGTTGCTTGTCACATAGTTTCCACGAATATTGATTCCACTATTTGTTCTTCAGAAAAGTAAGTCACATGCATGAGAAATTTGATCAAATGAACACAAAAACTTCGAAGTTCCCTGTTTAGTCCTGTCTGAATTAATGTTCTGAATTATATTTACTCAGTAATAATAGATATTATTTTTCATATTATTCCCAACAAGTGATTGGCCAGAAGTGCATCACGTGTCCACCGATAAAAAATTGATATTGACTTGGAGGGCGTGTTTTTTGTTGGAAGGACTGGGTGTTCCTAAAAATAGAATTATGACATAACTCCAAACGAACGCACCGTCTCGCTTCCGTAGCTTTCTTACATTATTGTTTTAAAAATAATGTCTGGGACATAGAAACTGGGTTCAGTGTTGGCTGTTTGGGACATAGAAACTAGGTTCAGTGCTGGCTGTCTGGGACAGAGGGTTCAGCGATGGCTGTCTGGGACATAGGGTTTAGTACTGGCTGTCTGGGACATAGAAACTGGATTTAGTGCTAGCTGTCTGGGACATAAGGTTCAGTGCTGGCTTTCTGGAACATAGAAACTGGGTTCAGTGCTAGCTGTTTGGGACATAGAAACTAGGTTTAGTACTGGCTGTCTGGAACATAGGGTTTAGTACTGGCTGTCTGGAACATAGGGTTCAGTGCTGGTTGTCTGGGACATAGAAACTGGGTTTAGTGCTGGCTATCTGGGACATAGAAACTAGGTTCAGTGCTGGCTGTTTGGGAGAAAGAAACTGGGTTCAGTGCAGACTGTTTGGGACATAGAAACTGGGTTCAGTGCTGGCTGTCTGGGACATAGGGTTCAGTGCTGGCTGGCTGGGATATAGGGTTCAGTGCTGGCTGTCTGAGACATATGGTTCACTGCTGACTGAACGGGACATAGGGTTCAGTGCTGACTGTCTGGGACATAGGGTTCAGTGCTGACTGTCTGGGACATATGAACTGGGTTTAGTAATGGCTGTTTGGGACATAGAAACTGGGTTCAGTGCTGGCTGTTTGGGACATAGAAACTGGGTTCAGTGCTGGCTGTTTGGGACATAGAAACTGAGTTCAGTGCTGGCTGTCTGGGATGTAGAAACTGGGTTCAGTGCTGGCTGTTTGGGACATAGAAACTTGGTTCAGCGCTGGCTGTTTGGGACATAGAAACTAAGTTCAGTGCTGGCTGTTTGGGACATAGAAACTGGGTTCAGTGCTGGCTGTTTGGGACATAGACACTGAGTTCAGTGCTGGCTGTGTGGGACGTAGAAACTGGGTTCAGTGCTGGCTGTGTGTGACGTAGAAACTGGGTTCAGTGCTGGCTGTTTGGGACATAGACACTGAGTTCAGTGCTGGCTGTGTGGGACGTAGAAACTGGGTTCAGTGCTGGCTGTCTGGGACGTAGAAACTTGGTTCAGTGCTTGCTGTATACTTGGATGACTGATCTAGTTTGTCGATGACTCTGTGTTTAGGTGACAGATATGATGCTCCAGGAGAAGCTCTACCCCAGCTGGGCCAAGCCGGTCCGCACCTGGTGGAACCACCGTTACAATCGTATCATCTTGTTCTGGGTGGTCACCATTGTGACATCCTTCATCGTAATCTTTACGATAGCTACTGACTATATACAGTGGGAGAAGCTGAACCACGGATTCCTGCCGACTAATGAACTGTCCAGGGCATTCCTTGCCTCCTTCATACTGGTTATGGACATCATGATCGTGTGTCAGGTAATTGATGTCTGTTACATACAGCCAACAGTCTTTGTTAAGGGCATTTTATATGATAAAGAAACACATGCAGAGATGGTAAACTAAATGTTTCACCTGTTTTACTTAATCTTACCAAAGTTAATAGTTTAACAATTTACATAACATTTTGATGTTAGTTTCTCATTGATATTGCATAAATAATTAATGTTTCTCCAAAAAGACATTTTCATTGACTCCCAACACAATGTTCTTGTTTTACAGTCATTATGAGGGTCTTTTCAGATAATGAAAGACAATGAAAGACCTGGCAATGTAACCCGTTACTGCTGGGTAGGTTTGGTGTTCAGTAGTACCCTGGACAAAACACGATACACTTCCCTTCTCAGTACATGTACTAACATGGTATAAATTATATTTTTACAGGACTGGGATTTCCCCCATTTTATGAGTGCCATTGATATTAAGATGCCTGGTGTTAACTCTGCACACATCAAGTTTGAAATCCCTAAGTGTCTCAGAAAAGATACTTGGCAGGTACACATAACAGGTGAGGGGTGATCTTGGTTTGTACTTCGTAAATACAACTGTGTGAGTGTCACAATAAACTACTGTCAATGCACTTAGTATAGAGGTAATAATATTTGAGCAGTATTTTAGCAACTAAAAATATTTTGTTTTCCATACTTACCTGGTATTCAAACATGCTAAATCATTTATAGCTGCTACAGGTTTTTAGGAGACCAAGTTAATGTATAAAGTTTCAAACATTTTATAGAACTGAAATAGGTATAATTCCTTTTGGCATGCAGTATATATTTAGAACTGTTGGTGAAGTCATCAAATTAATCATATATAGCTTAACATTCACACTACAATCCTAATGAAAATGCTTTATCTACTTGTATAGGTAAATGGTTTAACTATGGGATTCTCTTCATCGTCATGCTGCTTGACCTCAACATGTGGAAGAATCAGATCTTTTACAAGCCTATAGACTACGGTCAGTATGTGGATGCTGAGGGGCGCATCCACACAGTGCTAGATGATTACAGTCTTAAAAACTTCAACGAGAGCATGCTTACCTGGTCCTACAGAAACCAGACAATAAACCCACTGACCAATGCCACCTACCTACAGGGAGATATGGTGGTCAGCACACGTTACTATGGCTACAGTCTGGCATTGAAGGGCTTAGCCTTTGTTCCAGCCCTTGTCGCGTTCATCGTGTTTGGTGTCACCATTTGGATGTTCGGCCGTTTTAAACCAACAAAGGATGATCCGTATGCTGGTCGATTAAAGAAGCGCGGAAAGAGGCGGAGATTCTCTCTCAGAAATATATCTAGTTCTTTCAGAAAAATTGAATTGCGTAGAAAAGTTCAAGCTGTTCCTAGACTGCTACATTTCCGACGAAAACAAGGTTCTAATCATGACCCTGCCTCCATTGGATCAGGATACCTTGAAAATTGGTCTGCTCCAGCTGACATTGCTAGATAGAGACATTCAAAGCTGTTCTGTCATCGTTTTCTAAAGTTCATATCATGTTGATGGTTGTTTCGTTTCTGTTTGATGTTAAGTATATTTTTGAGACTTTTCTGTACAATTTTACTGTAAATTACCGACGTTTTGTAAGAAGGACATTTTTATAAATGGTGATGATAATTAATCATGAATCAAACACCTGTGGCATAAAGGGTCAAGAATTTCCAAATTGAAGAAAGATATCTCCCCTATTCCTTAAGGGAATTTAAATCTTCACAAATAATTTGAAAACATTAATAAGTATGGGCAGAAAATAAGAACATGCATATGCTCAAACAACTATGCTTCAATAGTAAGTCTTGAACTAATTGTTATAAATCCCCAACCCGACATATGCTGTGATGATTCTACTAGAAAACAGTGTCGGCATAAAGTAGGCAATCATTTTAACAATCGTTTTATCATTATGTAGTACGACACTATAGATTATTTCTATACTGATAATATTGCAGCATGCAATTCTTATATGAATAGTAAATGGGTTATTTCATGTTTTCAAATCAAAAGTATCATTGAGGAGTATTATGATGTTACTAGAAGATCATGCCTATTATCGGTAGCTGTGTGACCTCGTAATACATCTGTAGTTATATGTGGATAGCCTGCTATATAAAGACAGTGGGTGGATGTCAGCTTTAACCAAAGTGATACTGTTTTATGTTATGAAGAGAATATAATTATCATGATAATTGTTCTGTGTTAACTGAATTGGTGTGAAATTGTAATGTGTCAGAACTTCACATCATTATTATGCAATGTTTTCTCTGAAACACCTGATTTCTCAGGTGTAAAATCATCTTCTAAGAACAAAACTCCCCTCCTCGTGATCTGATATTTCTACAATATAACTACTGCATATTATTCTTAATTATGATGTTGGATCACTTTTAAACAATCTGATAGTTTTATCCCTATTTGTATAATGGAAACTATTTCTATTTATAAACCTTGAATGACAAACAGAATTGGACCAGTATATGATTACCAGATATATTTTACCATACACTTAAAGGGTGCTGTTCCTAAACGATCCTGGATCCCTGTTACAGAACCACAGAATTAGCGTTGGTGAAACAAAATGGCCTCAAGATGGCAATTTTTATTTTACTACAACTTGTGAAAATTTATTTTATATGCTACGTTACCGACAGATTTTACATCCCGACCAGTTTGTATTACCATAATACTTGTACAAGTCTTCATCATCACTATAGAATATGTATTTAGTTGACATTAAATTATGAGATTTTTTGAAAATAATGTTGCGGGTAAACATTTTTATTGTCATACCTGACATGTAGTTCAACGTTTAAATGCATACTGTGTGAGTACCGTAGATGCCTTATTCTTACAGGTTGACTCATTTCCTCTGTATTTTTAGATTGATAGAAGAGGGGAAATACATGGTCTGAGATATTTTATAGAAATGATTTACAAATCCCTCAATTTAAAATGATATGTACATTATTTTTCTCGTGGGTTATTTTTGCATCAGCACTTGACAGCAAAATGAAGTTCACACAGATTTTAAATCACTTTTCCAAATTTGCACTTTATGCTGTAGTGATCCATTCCCCAGCCTAGTGGAGCCATGTAGTATTAAACATGTAGGATAAATACTGGAGCCTAATTACATGCGCAGTTAAATAAATTCAGATATTTTAACAAGATTCTCTTCCTGATAATTGGTGCCCATGGTAATGAGTTTTTCTAGGTTTTGCTGTTTACCATTATAACCTTATCACCGTCCTGAAGGTTAGCATTATAAATCATCTATCATGGATACATAGGATAATATCATTACTACGTCTGTTTAATTTCCTCAACTTCCTGTTGTTGTGTTCATTGATATCGCTATCCTTTACATGTAATAATTCAGTAGTGGAATGTCATGTTTAGAAACTGATATATTTAAAGTAAAATGGTGATGATTTTGTAACACCAGGTACATGTGTTAACCAAATGTATTGACCAGCAAAGCTTATCTTAGATATCCGGTAAATTGTACCTCTTGGCAGATTGATTACATCCAGTGAATAATTGAACCACATATGTATATAATACCTGATATAGGTTGTCGTGTTTTAAACCAGAGTTCGTGAAGTCATGGTTAGTTTGTGTACCTACTTTACTAGTGTCTCCTGTCTGTAAAATGATATATTATATCTGAGAGTATGGCTGGACACTGACCTTTTCCGACATTATATCTGAGGGTATGGCTGGACACTGACCTTCCCGATGTTGTGTTGCTAGATGTTGTTATGTAATTAACAACATTTATATTATTACAAAGAGGAATATGATATTATTGTGTATAAATGGCTGATATTATATCTTCAGTTATACAATATATATAACATGCCAAAATGTCAAAAACAGACATTCATATGATATTTTTGTACAAAGTCTATATATAACACCTGGCACGGGTGTTAGAGTATCTTTGTTATTGCTCAGAGGTTTTTGATTAACGGGTGTCGAGCATTGTGAAATATATGTAGTACATGTATATATTTTGATGTATATGTATAAAAGATTAAGAGCAACAAGTTTTACATCTGTACAGGGGATGAAGATTGAAAGCTTTCAGTCTAACAGATACTCAAATATTTCTAAGTAATGACAAAGATTTCATGTACATTTATATTTCAATTTACATCATTTAAAGACAGAAGTGGTTGCCTATGGTACTATACTTTTGTAAGTAAACCCCAACGGAATGTGGTATATTTTCTATACACACCTATGAGTAATTCACAAAAATCTATTAATTGTTGACATTTCGTACCTTATTTTTGACATGCTAACTATATATTTATTAGATATAACTGACTGAAGTTTGTTCTCTGTATATTGTTGTAGAGAAAAATATAATTCTGATACTACAATGTTTAGTTTAAGATATTTTAAGTGTATTTCATGAAATTGTGTTCATGTGCCAATGAACAATACCACTTATTGATGTTCATAATTCAATACTTGCTGAAAACAGGATATCTAGCCCTAAAAGCATGTGATAATTTAATCTGATGATAATGTTTGTATCATTTTTGTCACCAAATTAATTCATACAAAAGTATTCTCCAGTCGTAAGAGTGTGAAAAAGAAATCTCACCTAAGGGTGACATTCATGACTGTTTACCCCAAGGCTTGCTTCAAGTCAAGTTTAAGGTGGTTTGCTATTTCCTTGTTATACCCTGATAGTAAGGAAAGATTCGTTTTCTCCCATCTCATCATTAAAAATTGATTATCAACATTTATAAGCAATGTTGCAGTCCTGATTTGTACAAAACTTCTCCCATCAAAAGCTGATTGCGATGTCATATTTTATTGTTACCATGACGTCATGCATTGTTTCTTTTAATGTGCTATCTATTATTCCCTAAGGGGTGTCAGTGAATGGGTAAAATGAGAGACAACTCAGTGTGCTGGGGTAATAGGATAGTTGTACCCATGATTATTTCATTACTCATTGTAACTATTGAGGATCAACATCCTGGTCATACCTGGACATTTAGCTTAGCTGTGCTGGACATTACTTCACCTGTCATCCTTAGCTTAGCTGTGCTGGACTTTAGTTCACCTGTAATCCTTAGCTTAGCTTAGCTGGACATTAATTCACCTGTCATCCTTAGCTTAGCTGTACTGGACATTAACTCACCTGTCATCCTTAGCTTAGCTGTGCTGGACATTAGTTCACCATTTATCCTTAGCTTAGCTGTGCTGGACATTAGTTCACCTGTCATCCTTAGCTTAGCTAAACTGGACATTACTTCACCTGTCATCCTTAGCTTAGCTGTACTTGGTATAGAAAACCCTTCATCCTTTGTTACACAATCAACCCTAACAATATGTTTGCTGATGAAATTTTCAAGTAATACTTGACAAAGTGCGAAATTTCATGTTTATATATTTTAGTATTCCCTCGTGTTGGATAACCTCATCATAATTTTGAGTGTGGCCACTTGATGGACAACTTAATTTTATGGCCAGGAGACAAGGCAAATGGAAGTGTCCAGAGAGTTTGTGTGGCATCGAGCAGAGTTGTTCCTCGTAAAATAGTTAGTTTGATGCATTCGATGGGAATTAAACTCATTTCATAATGAACTTTACCAACCTTTGAATTGGAAGAGTTCAAATGTGTCTTCAGGGGTGAATGAGTTAAGAGAGAAAAAAGGGTATAAATCTACATACAAAATTTGTGCTGCATGTCACTAAAAGAACTTGTTGATTGGAGTTAATCAAAAAGGTTGGGAGATATGAGAATTACTGCTGTTAATAAAATAACAGCTCCACCTTGCTCCTTATGTCTGTAACACATATGGAAAATATTTAATTATCATATTTGTTGTTCAGTGTGAATGTGAATTTTATTGATGTAATAGAAATATATTCAGCTTCCGCTTTATGTGAGCAATAAATTGCATGAATGGATTGCTTAGTTTGTCCGCAAATCCGGAGAAAGCCTGGCCTAATTAGTAGCAATATATATAATAATCAGGTAGGTTATATACTGGTGGTTGAGTAGGTGACATATATTATGTAATCATTACATCACCCTGATTTATTCTTTTATAACGATTTAGCTCTGATTGGCTAACCTTGGCTATTACCCTACAACAGTTTGATGTAGGTTCCTTATTTACAATATACCGGTATTCAACCCTACCCAGTGGGCTTGTAAAACAGTCAAACTTGAAAACATTTGCAATGCAATTGCATTTTGATTTTTATGCTTTTATATCTTTTTACATTTTCCCAGTCATAATTCTATATACTAATATTAAATCTGTGCTTCATTATATATATAAAATGGCCTTTTTCATAATAAATCTTTGATCTCCACCAGAATTCCCCCCCCCCCCCAGGCCCCCAAATTATAGACTGAATACAGCTGATTGTTCCCAGTTTTTGAAACACTGCATAGTAATGTAAAAGTGGCATGCATGCAGTAGAATTGTTTTATTTCTTTGAAAAGTATAGATTTTGCTGGCTAATGTAAGGGTGAATGTATGTCATACTGCATACATAAATGTCAAGTTATCTTTCCAAGTGACATATCAAATGTTATAACACACCAGTCAATAAACCAGTATTTTATCAGTAGCAGTAGGTATTTAAGCGAAGTATTACTAAACCAAGTAAATGAATGGACTTGGAAACACTTTGTTGACATGCTTATTTAAGAAAAAATCATGTATAGGTTGATTCTCTGAGTATAAATAGACACAATTTTGAAAATAAATGAATTATTCTCTTAGAAAATGTGAGCTGTCACTTGCATAAAAACCATATATAGAGAGCATCAACACTTGGAATAATTACATCTATATTGTACAAATCAATGACATACCTTAACAGGATCTAACTCAGTGCATATTACCTCCCTTACCTTCAGAGTCAAACTAATATAAATAAAGGTTTGCTACCTCCCTTACCTACAGTAGGAGACATGGTACAATATGTGTTACCTCCCTTACCTACATGAGACATCATTCAGTGTTCATTATCTCCCTTATCTACAGTAGGAGACATGGTACAATGTGTGTTACCTCCCTTACCTACATGAAACATAATTCAGTGTTCATTATCTCCCTTATCTAAAGTAGGAGACATGGTACAATGTGTTACCTCCCTTACCTACAGTAGGCGACATGGCACAATGTGTGTTACTTCCCTTATCTACAATATGAGACGTGGTACAATGTGTGTTACCTCCCTTATCTACAGTAGGAGACGTGGTACAATGTGTGTTACCTCCCTTACCTACAGTAGGAGACATGGTACACTATGTGTTACATCCCTTACCTACATGAGACATAATTCAGTGTTCATTATCTCCCTTATCTACAGTAGGAGACATGGTACAATGTGTGTTACCTCCCTTACCTACATGAAACATAATTCAGTGTTCATTATCTCCCTTGCCTACAGTAGGAGACATGGTACAATGTGTGTTACCTCCCTTACCTGCAGTAGGCGACATGGCACAGTGTGTGTTACTTCCCTTATCTACAATATGAGACGTGGTACAATGTGTGTTACCTCCCTTATCTACAGTAGGAGACGTGGTACAATGTGTGTTACCTCCCTTACCTACAGTAGGAGACATGGTACAATGTGTGTTACCTCCCTTACCTACAGTAGGAGACAGTGAAATGCTAGTTATCTCCCTTACCCACGTTATAATTTTCCATTACATATAGTTGGAGACTGATTTTCAATATAGTTGATTAAAGCTTTACCTGCTGTAGGAGGCTAAGTGTGAAGTTTATTGCCACCCATACAAAGTAGCTAAAATGAAATAAGACTTTGGAAGTTATCTTTGAATTAGCCTATGATAGAGTATGCCTAATGCTTTTCATTGCCAGTATTTGTGTAGAATAGAAACATTTTTTTCTCATAATTATGATAGTACCTTTATAGGTTAAGATGAATTACTATGAGTGAATGGAGCCTTTGAGTTGTCTTACCATGATTAAAAGTTTAATTTCTATTCACATAAAAATATATTCGGTAACGTCAGGGACAGAACTATACGTCCCTGGTAACGTACACAATGTTGTTAGGAAAATAATCAATGTTATATAATGATTTCAAAAAATTCTACGAAATATTCTTACCTGTTCTATACCTTCAACACAAGGTTGAAGACAATATATACAATGTTATTTAGCTTATCGGCTCACATGGTACTGTAGTGATTCTACTGTCTTTTATGAATTTTATAGAATATCAATGCATTTAAGATTGCCACATGTACATTAATGTTTAAGGACCATTTTAGTTTGGGCATGAAGCTGAATCAGTGTTCTTCTGATTCTCAAAGGCACCAGAGGAAGTTCAATTTCATCATAAAAAATTCTAAACCATACAAATGTTTAAGTTGAGTGAAATTATATTCATCAAAAGAGGCAATCTGAGTCTTTAAAAGATCCATACAATGATAATGGTTGAAACAATTAAAAGTCTGTCAGATTTAACATTTTAAAAACCTATCCTGGTTTATAGTAATGTACATAGTAATGTCGTGATCTGTGTATCTATCTGTTAGTCCATGCATGTGTATGTAGTAAAAAGTTTGTGTATAGAACCCCTGAATATATTTAGTTTATAATTACACCATTGTATGGCAACATTGAGTTCTATGGTCATCATTAGGCCATTTGATGGTTAAAAGGTTAAAGGTCACACTTGACAAGTTTCGAAGCAAAAAGATTGTGTACAATATATACAGTATCTCCCAAACCCCTAGACAGGTTTGGGGTATATTTAGTAAAGTAAAATTCTGATTTGATTTTGTTGTCATAAGTGAAGAATAAAGGGTCAGAGGTCACTCTTGTCTACGTTGAAGTAAAAAGCTTATGAAGAAGATATCTCACAAACCCATCAACAGTTGCAGTTACTGCCCCCCCCCCCCCCCCTAACTTTTATTGACACTTTATTTTTGCAAAAACCTTATAATTTTGCTAATCTCTTCACTGCATGCAGCTGTATACATTTTCTGTTGTTTTACAGGTTACTAAAAGGTACCGCTTCCAGACATTTTGATAGAAACTGATATATTTGGTATAATAATAGAACTTTTTATAAGAGAAGAATATCAAATTTTCTTTTGTTGCAACTTTGCTAAGAACATGACCAATGTATGAAGATGTGTTCACTTCTAGTGTCAGTGGCTGTTATAATTATTTTTTAATTGTAGTATCATGTCAAATTACTTATTAAGATTTATTTATTATTTCATTTAAGTTAATAAATACTATTGAACAAAAGGTTGTGTTGAAGTTTTGTTATATCAGATAATATCAAAAGAGGACAAGATATTGAAAGAATAGGAGACAACAAATCTATATTGGATCTTGTTAAAATGATTCAAAAACATATGATCCTTAAATAGAAAACAATTGACAAGGAACCATTGACCCTGTATTTAGGAGACAATTTACAAGGATGCCATTGACCCTGTATTTTGGAGACATTTTACAAGGTAACCATTCACCCTGTTTTTGGGAGGCCATTGACCCTGTATTTAGGAGACAATTTACAAGGATACCATTGACCCTGTATTTAGGAGACAATTTACAAGGATACCATTCACCCTGTATTAAGGAGACAATTTACAAGGATGCAATTGACCCTGTATTTAGGAGACAATTTACAAGGAGGCCCTTCACCCTGTATTTAGGAGAAAAATTTACAAGGACGCAATTCACCCTGTATTTAGAAGACAATTCGCAAGGATACCATTCACCCTGTATT